GTTTCACTTGTGCGAAACAGTAAACGTTTAGCTGGTTTGCAGATAACCCTCTTCTGGCATCATCACTTGGGTTGTAAGAGGATGAAACAGAATGCCAGGAATCTGCATTTGTATAATTATGTATGGTCTAAACACGATTGACAACATAAACATGAAACCTTTGAACTCAGTCTTGACATATCCCAAAACAATCATACTGTCAACCCAAAAATATTTAGTCACATCAATCTAGATTTTCTTCTACGTCTCTCTTGCAAAGAATATATTTGTATAAATTCGGTATTGTATTATATATATAACTAATTTTTCTGCTGTGGTAATATAATTTCATTTTATACAATTTATGATCCCCAAACGATAAAAAACTCATTTTACAAAGCCAAGCAATAAATCAATTGTATCAGTATTGGTATTGTGTGGATTTCAACAAACAATTGGTTATGATTTGTGCAAGTGGAAATTAATTCAGGACTTGGAAAGAATACAAGGTGATAAAATATTATGGTGATGATGGGTTGTTCAAACTTTGCTAATGTTCATTCACTAACTTGTGCAATCAAAGTTCATAAAACCGTCATCATTTATAAATCATACCAAAACGTTTAACTTGTATGATAAAATATCTAGACAAACAAAATACGAAATTGATCACTTTAGTTTCACTTTTGTCGCAAATCGCTCCGCATCAGTTGAACCGTTTTATTCTATACGCTGTGGGACTGTTGCGAAACTAGTAGAGACAAAAGCGTATAATAGTAAAACTGAAAATAATTAATGCAGTATATATAATACTTGTCTGTTTGGTATCAGTATATAGAGAAAATTGTAGATTATAAAACCACTCCGATTATCACAAGAAAATGAAGTGATCAAATCGTTTTATTTTACGTATGTTTTTATGATTCAATTGAAAACTAAATTCTCTTATTTATGTTGCGCATCTTCGAATGAATCTGAATTATTCTGCTGCAAAATCACGGTAGTTGTTTCAAGGCATATCTGGCCATGTCGCACTCGCAACAAGATTATTGTCTATCTATTTTCTTGAATAGATAATAAATTTAGATATCGTACGCGCAACAGATTAAAATTGGTATATCCTTCACGAAAGTTAAAAATTGAACTTGAATACAAATCATTGGTTGATCGCAAATGCCCGTACTATACTACATTATATTATACATTTAAGATGCAAGTATTGCCAAATGGTTTAATTTTATATTATTTCAATTGATATTTATAAAAAAGCCGTAAAATGTTGCGTGAAATATCGTGACCTATTGAACACCGTATGACTTAAATAAAAATGGGTACTCCTGAAGTATGCGCACCAAGATGTCGCACCACCTGAAACCTAACCTGGTACACAACTTGAGTTCAGGTTGTGCGCCATCTTGGTGCGCATACTTCAGGAGGTCTTGAAAATACAGTGAAGACGTAACAATAGAGGTAGACACTACTTGCTGCAATTCCTCGAGTTGCAGTTTATTTATCTTCTGAACCGGGTTTTGCGAGCATGAGTGATTTATGTAGTATGTCAAAGGATGAGCAGGAAAACATGAGAAATAGGAAATGACCTTTGGCATATATTCCATAGGCCTACATATTTACAAAACTTTAAAAGACGTGAAGTACATATCAACGATCACAAAATCGAGATTGAATGCAGAAATTGTTTTCCTGTTAAGTGCGCCTTGTGTTTTCCTTCCTCCTAATTTGGCGTCGCACGAAGAAAGAGTTTGATGGGAAGAAGAGCTGACCCTTGACCTTTATTCTCTTAGGCCTACATATTTACAAACTTTAAAAGAGACGAAAAACACATGAACGAGCACAAAATTGAGTTCGAACGCAGAAATTGTTCACCTGTTAAGTGCGCCATAAGTTTTTTCCCTTACAATTTGTCGCCGAAGAAAGGTTCGGGAACCGCTGCAATATGTGAATCTTTTCACGATGGAAGTGACATACCCTATCAACCCGATCATATTCCGCTTCGTTTTGTTGGGCTTTCATATGCAGCGATTCGCAAATCCACAAATTACGATTCGTATAATTTGTCATTACGTCTAATATTGAATCGTTTGAAATTTTTATTTAATTTAAAAATTAATGAGATCTTTGTTTGTAAGTGAAAAAGATTGTTGCAATAATAAACCTTGCGGTATCGTACATCTGACGTAGATGTGCATGGATGGTGGTGCGTTCAATTCATATCCGCTCGTCTTTATATGATGATGCTCGGAAGGTCCAGGTTCCTCATCGGTTCTGCACTAATTGATGTGAATAAAGTGCAAAACGTAACTTATATATGAATGTCATGCTTTTAATAGAGAAATAGCGTTCGTGTATTTATTTATGGATTATAAAACGCTTTTCTGTACATTGTGTGAGAAAGAAGTTCTTAGATTTGAACACAATAACCAGGTGCCTTCAAATAATAATAATGATAAGTTTTAATTTGCCAGTGTCAACGAGTTCTGTAAGCTTCGAGCGGAGACTGAAAGTATGAAATCAATTTTGAGAAATGTTTGTATACGTTATTTACAATATAATTATCTCGAGAATACAAAATCATAAATTTGAGCAATGAATAATTTCGAATCACTCACATATTCGCTCATCTTACTAAAAATGCGACAACGTGCCATACTTATTACTCCTGCGTCTTTATAAATACTACATCGCTTTTTGATTGCTATCTCTTGCTCTTTCGGTTTGTGAACCGAATAGTACGTTTTGACATTTTTTGTAGGAAAACAAAATTTATTTATTTGAGCAATTGATAATGCAGTGTAAATTAGGCTTGCACGTAATTGACAAAAATCAATTCCGTAATTACGGCAAAATCGATTACGTAATGACCCCGTAATTGCGATATTTTTTCACACATTTAAACCTATCATAACAACCAATTGAATCCACTTCATTTTCGATTGGGACATCGAGTTTGGGTTTTCATATTCCTGGCAGTACTACACGCCGGCGACAGATGTTAAGACAAGAGTGAATTCAAATTAATTTTATTCTGATTTTTATCTTTTGTGCTAGCTTTGATTTCCTTTATCACCTTCGCAAATTAACCGTCCCAATTTTATGCGATCAATTTTATCATTACCGACACTGGTATACGGATATTAATGAAACGATAGTTGACTTTTTAAAAATCGTATTAAAAATAAATGTCGGGTTTCCAATTTATCAATGCCACGACGAGCGTATTCTCTCGTTTGATTATACTTGCGCTTGCCTCGCGACGAAGACTTGTTATTGCACCGTTTTTAACATTATTCGACTTTACTACCTAGTCAGCATTTTATAATAATCATTGATGCCGACTTATTGACGTTATTCCGATTACCAATTCCGAAAATTTCAATTCCGAAAATGGTTCCCGCACAGAATAAACACACTGGCTCATACTTGATATTTGATAGTAGTTAAATTGAGAATATTGAACTGTTGAAACAAAAAAACGATTGTCGAAATTCTTAAATCTCGTTGCCTTGGTTAAATATAATCCAATGATCAGGACATTTTCAATTAAATACTGCACAAAGATAGTTATACATTAAACATTTAGGCTACAATTTAGCTTTTTTTTTTTAAATTTCAATCATGCATTGGGGTGGAGAAATCCCATTATTTAAATACGGGTAACTATAAAAATAGAATAGGATTCTGGATTCGATTCAAGTATTCTAAAACAGTGGTTCCCAACCGCCGGTCCGCGGACCGTCAACGGTCCGCAAAGGATTTTTACCGGATCGTGGGAAATCCCGTCATATTGTTGTTTCTCTGCCGTCGAAGACGAAGTTGCGTTGGTTCATTACGCAATTTCTTTCCCGTCGTCATATTCCTGTTTGATAAGCGCGACATTAATTATCACGGTGACGTATTGGCAAGAGAGAGAAAAGTGAGAAAAACGGCTGCAAATACCGAAGCTTTAACTTCTTTTTAAAACTTTCATTTTCTACAATCGACGGAATTGACTGCTTTGAAGAGAGCTCGTTTCAATCGTGAAAGTGCTCGACCAATATTTACCACTTTACGTGATTCGTAACTTCCCTTCCGTAATTCGAAATATTTCCGTAATTCCGTAAATCTGTGGATTACGTGCAAGCCTAGTGTAAATTTCATTACATGGGTATGCATTATTGACTTCCGTATCGTATACGTTAATTTCGGCAATGCAGATATAACAAAGACAATATCAAAACAGATAGGTATCGCATAAAAATACGATTTGATAACACTTTTATAGATCTGATTTGACAGAATAACGATTACAACACGCAAGATAGAAACATGTCAAAATTATAACGCTTTGTATCACTCCCACTCATTAAAACACATCCTGATTTAGGTTGAGATCATACAAGATAGTTGTATAGAATATAATTTCTGATCTGATTCAGCATTGGGTTTGTAATTCTAATATAAAATCATTGTTGAAATATGAACTTAAGTCGTCAGTTTTGTAGTGAGATTGCGCAGCATACTAGTAACAGATATTCAAAATAATTGAGGTGTTTCAGCTGAAAATACACGTTCACATACAGTAGGTAAAAAATTATCTCAGGATGGAAAGAGACACGATAAACTATGAAAACCTTGTTCGTGAAAATTCAAGTCTAATCGTGTCAATATACGTGATAACAAACTTTCAACACAATTAAATGTAATAGATGATATCGTGCGATTATACTATGATTTAACAATAATACAACGATATAGTAGGAGTTAGAATAGAAAAAAAAAAACGCTAAAGTTCAGCAATCCCGTCTCAGCGGCGGGTTTTATTGAATCTAAAACTAACTACTTTTGCGGTAAAATTTATCTAACAAAGAAAAGATCTATAATACAATGGATTAAAATCGAAGACCGGTTGAGTAAGAGCATTGTGGAAGAATTGGAAATACTCGTAAAATGAGGTCAAAGTTGTCTTTGCTTCTTTTACAAACTAACTTTTTCTTAACAATTCAAAAACCCGCATCAAATTTGTTCAGTTGATTGCTTATTTTATATAATTTCCTCAAATCTTCATTATCAGTATATGTTTATATTTAAATACATGGATGGTTTAAAGATCAAGATCATCGTTATCATCTTTCCAATCATAATTATTTTCTTCCATATGCATTTTCATCATAGATTCGATGACTTGAGCGCGTTTGTTGACATCGTACACTCGTAAACGCAGATTATGCACTTTTTCTTAACAATTCAAAAACCCGCATCAAATTTTGTTCAGTTGATTGCTTATTTTATATAATTTCCTCAAATCTTCATTATCAGTATATGTTTATATTTAAATACATGGATGGTTTAAAGATCAAGATCATCGTTATCATCTTTCCAATCATAATTATTTTCTTCCATATGCATTTTCATCATAGATTCGATGACTTGAGCGCGTTTGTTGACATCGTACACTCGTAAACGCAGATTATGCACTTGGTTTTTATCAGCTGCATCTCCCAATTTTCTTTTCCGCTAAAAAATAGTGCAACTCACCGTTAAAGCTGAAACAATATGCAATGCATTCGGGGCCCATGTCATCTTGTATTTAATACTTTCCTTCTTTGTAATTTTTCGCTAGATGGCGTTTGTGTATTCAATGGCGATTTCTAAACTTTTCTGGGGTAACACTGTTCCGGGTTTGGCCCTTGATTTATAATGAATCAAACCACATTGGTCATTTATTGGTTTAATTAAGGCAAGTATAAGTTATCTTTCAAGCCTTTGTTGAACTAATTTTTTCAATATTAGTCCTGAATTTGTACTCGATTTAAAATTTTCAAAATGGTAATGATTCAAGTTCTCTCCAGATCAGATCATAGTAGCCCCTTACACACCAAAGGATTATTGTATGAACTTGTACTGAAGAAATTACGGAACGCTTTTTATCATTGAGGTTACAAGTTTGGGAGATTTATTATAAATACGTATCATGGAAAGTTGAATAATAGTTTGAATATAATTTACATGTGCATAGGAAACAACAAACCTCAACAAAGCTTGATTTCTTTGATTTCTCGTTACTTATGTCATCTGTGATTCTAAACTCTTTACTTTCATCATGTTCAGAAGGTATTATTGTACAATTTTTACCTTCCTCGTATAACTTCGTATGTTTTTGAAGAAGCATAGTTTCAGTATCTAACACCAGCTTTGCCTGAAAATTTATTAAACTAGTTTTGGGTTATGGAAATAAAGTTACATATATGTAATGTCTGGGCTTGGGAACAATTTATAAGGAGAAACCTTTTTGCGTGATTTGATCCATGTTATTTTATGTAAAAAGGGATTCGATGATATGATTTTGTTTGCATTGGTTGAATATGAAGTTAATTGTTGTTGTGGTCAGAGATATCAAAATTATGAACACTTATGTAGCACTGATTACTGCATTAAACTTACGTGTTGGGCTCTCGATTTCATTTCTGCCTTATTCGTTATTGCTTTAATATCATCCACGGCTAATCCAACCTGGAAAATGGCATTTTGTGTTATTACAAAATAGCGTCATCGTACGCAGTCCATCTTTTGCAATAGACAAACTCAGGACACATGTATCATCGGAACGTGTTGAATTATAGTGCGTTTTGGATGTATGTTATTTCCGGTCTCAAAGCTGATTTTGTCGTATTATTAAATCGAATCTTATATCAGTAGCTGAACATACATTTTCTTCTGTTTTATGATATAAGAGAGATTTTAAGTCTTGAAATCATTGATTCTTAGATGTCAAACACATGTAGTCGTATCTTTCAAATGAAACTTTCGGAATTTTTTTTTATAAGATTACAATAAAATATTTACTTACCAACATATTCATTACGATGATGCTCATGATTATTAACGATGTAAGAAAAACCAAGTAAGATACTTTTTCGTAGTAAACCTGATAACGTAAAACAGTAATAAAAGAAATGCTGTTTCATTACCTTACATGTTTGGAATAATATTCGAATGTGGAAACAATTTTGTATACATCAACAATGGACTTTAAATTATGTGCATCTAATATTTGATTATGCATGAATTCAAGCTGAAACTTGATCTGTACCAACCTGATCGGTATACTCAGAGCTTGAGTGTTGCGCAGTGAAAATCGATTCATATTCGATTTCCCCAATCATCATAACAATTGTTTTCACAATCGAGTCCCATAAATTTCCAAAGGCAATCTGTTAACATAACCCTTTATTGCATGAAGTCAAGAATTTTGATATAAAATGAAAAAAATTTGATAAAAGCAAGTATGAAATGCAGAAAAAAGATTTGACCTCCTGAAGTATGCTCACCAAGATGGCGCACAACCTGAACTCAGTTTGTGTACCAGGTTAGGTTTCAGGTTATGCGACATCTTGGTGCGCATACGTGGGGAGTACCAAAAGATTTTATTTGATTCATTTTCGCCCTCTACTCCAATATGGAAGGGTAAATTTCGTTTGTGTCACATTTGACGCACCAAGCAAATATCTCAAATGCTTGTATTGCAAAATAAAACATCTTTATAGGCTGCGGCAATAAGGAGAACATGTATTAGTTGGGAAATAAACAACTTGAGATTTTTTCAACTACGAGTACTTCTGGGTATTTATTCTATCCTTATTTTAATATTGTACTTTGGTTATTATCATTCATTATAAAATACCTGGTTTTGGAAAAGCACGTGGAAACTGAATCCGAATGCACAGACAAACACAATCAAAACAACTGAAAATTTCAAAAATGTCTTGAGGATGTTTGTAAACATTACGACATAAATTCCAAGATCGAACTTTGGTATTGCTTCCACAAACAACAATAAAACTATCCAAGAAAGAAAGATATCTATTGTCGCTAGTTTCCACTGCCATTCCTAAAAGTAAACAATATGTAAACTGAGTATTCAGTGGATTAAAAGTCAGTGGTATTCTCCTCTGCGTTCAGATAATACTGTTTATGAATCTTAGTTTCCAGAGGTATATTACTCCGAGTAGTCGTGTATTACATGAATATCTACGTACATAACTTTTACATATATAAGTGATGATTATAATGGTTTCTAATTGTAGAAATAAAATAATATAGCGAGTAATATTTTTTACCTCTAAAATTCCATATTTGCACGTAAAAGTTGTGAATGGTAAAACCGTAACTATCGAAGAACCAAACAAAAATAGTTCAATCCAGTTTGTTGCATTCTTTATGTATTCAAGTTTTTCTTTGCACATTTGAAAAACCTACGTTGAGAAAATTCGAAAAATTTTAAAACGAATATTTTGTTCTTGTAATTAGTTGCGTAATAACCTATAGAGAGATCCAATTCGCTTCGGCCCTCTCCAGAACAATTTAGCAATTCAGACTTCATAAGGTTGACAATTGACGTTTATTTTTTCTGATTGTATATGACGGCAGTTTGTATGGATAACACTAGCTTGTAACAGTTAAATTCAAACTTTGTACAATACCATCTTTCACCCAGAATCAACATTTGGGACCAATTGAACTTTTTTCAATTAGATTCATCCCCTTTCTTTAAGGAGCATTTGAACTTGTTAGTCAACTATTTTTGAATAATTTTTTATACTATTTCGTAATAAAACACAGATTGTTACTTGCCTCTTTCAGTAGATTCAGAACAGCAAAAAAAATTGATACGTATCCCACGAACAAACGATCATGCTTTGTAACGCAAGAATCACCCCATTTACTTTGAGCCTCAGGTATCATCTGTACACACGTGTTTCCAGTATCATTAGCTGTAATATCTGGTATAGAAAAGTTCAATAAGGTATGAATTAGAAGAAATTATTTCCTACTCGTTTCTTGGAAAACGCGAGTTAACGTGAAAATCTGCTTGCACAATACCAGCATACTCTTTCATGAGTTAGATTAATACAGCTACCCACCATTGGTATAAAAATTTTATTGCTTCTAAGAAGAATAAAGTAAAAATCCTTACTTATTGCGTACGGCGGTGGAGTTGTCATAATGAAAGTATTGAACGACGCCATGAAACATGCGTATAGAAGAAAGAGCAGCCAGAAGACAATTCTGAAGTTTTTTCCTTCCCATTTGTACTTCAATATTCGTTTCACAAGCGGATGGCACATAAGTTCACGTCTATTCGATTTCATTATTAACGTCAGACAATGATTTTTTATCTCATTCCTCTGCAAAGCAACATTTCAGTATTGAGTGTGGCATTGAAAAACCACGTGAATCTTCATGTAACTACGTTTCTCACACTTATCTCATACAGCTAACAGACTTCATTACATGCTCACCTGAAGCCCATAATCTGCCGTATCATGAAGGTCTTCCAAAACGTTCACCATGTGATGCCGCTGATGAATATATGACAAACAGGTTTGAATTTTAGGGATTAAAATGTGTATTTAAAAATTTAGCAGTGACGTTAAAATTATATTGAAATGGAAGATTACTTAAAGTTTGAGTGAATGAGTTTCCTAACTGTTTTAGTGAGTGTTATGACAGTTTATTTATTATAACCAAAATTATGGCTTTAAGAAACTAAAAACGCATCTTAACCTAAACACAAGAACATGCAACATAATTACATTGAGTCACTAAGTATAGCCAAACTTAATCGGACTACCCGTCTAATACTCGTAACGGCACGTAACTAATGCAGTAAGGCAAATGCAGTCCGTTGTCGCTTGACGATATTCAGTGATCACAACACAAAGAACGATAATGTAATAATGACGGAATATAAACAAAGTGTAGCACACTGCAACAGGAATAACTGAACTTAATTCTCATAACATTCTCCCCGTCTATATTTCAAAACCATAGCGTTCTGGTGGAACACCAATGTTAGTTCGAGTTGAACGACGTGTGGCAATCCTTTCATTATTAGCATTGTCAGAGCTAATTGGAATTTCAATTTTGAACTCTTCATTTCGGTCAACGTTGCATCCATCATTTAGTGGTGACGCATTAGTACTTGTTTCACTATCTTCGTCCATATTGAATTCAGGAGAAAAGTCTTGAGACTCTCTATCGTCACTTGAAGATCGTTGGGAGACTGGACAAGGGGACAAGTCTCTTAACGATACCGTACTTTCCCGCCCATCAGAAAAACGAACTCGAGCATATGCGGGATTCACATTTTTTAGTTCCACTTGTTCAACCAAATCGTCATTTTTGTGCGAACGAACGAATTTCCGCAGAAAAGCATGTTTTGATTCGCACAACCAGGTAGGCAATGAATGACCACTGGGAGAGCGGTGTTGGAAGTTGAAAAATAGTTCATGTGGAGTTGCATTGACTGCTGTGCAAAGCAAAGATCGGAGCGATTGAAGAGCTTTCAGTAACACATATTCCCAATGTGTGATAGGCAGATTATATGTACGCAAGCATAAACGCACGGCTTTCCGGAGAGCGGTGTTGGAAGTTGAAAAATAGTTCTTGTGGAGTTGCATTGACTGCTGTGCAAAGCAAAGATCGGAGCGATTGAAGAGCTTTCGGTAACACATATTCCCAATGTGTGATAGGCAGATTATATGTACGCAAGCATAAACGCACGGCTTTCCATATGATTCCATTGAATCGTTCAACTTGGGATTTTCCAATTGGGTGATAAGGCGAGGATTGACTGGTGGCTACACCACGTTTAAGCAGAAAATCCCTTAGTTCCGCAGACATAAAAGATTTTCCTCCATCAGAGTGTATATAACCAGGTAGTCCGCACAGAGCAAATAATTTTTCAAGGCAGCTTATTACTGAAGCGGAAGAAAGATTGGTGCATGGAAATACAAATGGAAATCTAGAATATTCATCGACAATGGTTAGCATGTATACGTTTCTTGTCCGCGATGGCAAAGGTCCCTTGAAGTCCATACTCAGTCTTTCAAATGGCCTTGTGGCCTTGATTAATGTGCCATACGGTGGGGAATAAAATTTCGGTTTAAGTTCCGCACATACGCGGCATAATTTACAAGTTCTTTTAACGTCATCAGTCGAGAAAGGCAAATTTTTCGATTTGACGAAATGTAGAAGTCTTGTGACGCCCGGGTGACATAAACCTTCGTGTATTTCTTGCAATGACGTGGGAAAAACTGATGCGCATGTAGAACGTGTTAAAGCATCAGGTGCGGCATTTTGTTTTCCAGGTCGATATCTAACGTCGTAACTGAAAGAGGCTAGTTCCAGCCTCCAGGACTGAATTTTATTATTCTTTATTTTGGATCGACGACGGTTATCTAGCATGAAAGAAACCGATCGCTGGTCGGTCACGATAGTGAATGGACGTCTTGCCAGAAAATGGGCCCACTTTCGCACAGATTCAATGATTGCCGTTGCCTCCTTTTCTACAGCGGGATAAAACCTCTCGCTCTTCTGTAGAACACGCGACCAAAATGCCACTGGTCGCCCTCCTTGATTCAGTGTGACTGAAATTGCAATCTCCGATGCGTCGCATTCTACAACAAATGGAACATGCTCATCAATTGAGCTCAAAGTGGCATTTCCGATTTCTCTTTTTAGTGATTCGAAGTCTTGTACTGTAGCGCAATCTAAAGGAAATGTTTTCGCTTGGCGGAGTCGTCGCATTTTGTCTGAAAAGTTTACAATCCATTTCGAATAATACGCAAAAAGTCCAATTATTCTTTGCAGAGCGCGACTATTTGTTGGAGGTAGGAGTTCTCTTAATGGAGCTAGGCGTTCGGGATCTGGAGCTACTGAATTATTACCCACTGTATATCCCAAAATGTTAATTTTTCGTACACTTGATACTGTTTTTGCATCATTTAATGTTAAATTGTTTTTCTTAACAGTATCGAGAAATTTCTTCACGTTATAGTCATGCTCCTCTTTTGTATGTCCAGCTATAGTTACATTGTCGAGGTATGGAAATGTATCTTTCACATTGCCTTTTTCCACAATTTCATCCATTAGCCGCTGAAAAGCTGGTACTCCATTGGTCACTCCAAATGGAATACGATTGAATTCCCAGAGTTTACCATCGTCTTCAAACGCAGTGAAAATTTTATCTTGCTGGCATATTGGAATCTGATGATACGCGGATTTCAGATCGTAGGTGGAAAACCAGGAATATCCAGCAAGTTCGTTAACCATATCATCAATTCGCGGCAATGGATAGGCGTCTAGCTCTGTATAAATGTTTATTGTTTGTGAATAGTCTATGCACAATCGTCGTTTTGAGGTCAATGGGTCCTTCACAACTAAAGGCTGTGCTCTCCACGGCGAAGAACTTGGCCTGATAATTCCTTCGTTGTACATTCTCGAAACTTCTTTAGCGATGAATTCTTTGTCTAAAGCGCCAAAACGGCGAGATTTGACAGCTATCGGATGACAATTTTTCATGAGATTAGAAAATAACGAAGCCGGAGTGTAGTTTGCAGCAGCTAAACCACATACTTTGATTCATATTGAACTAGAAGTTCAGGACGAGAGCCGTTAAAAGGGAAAATGACTCTTTCATGTTGTCTTTGAAAGTCCTGACCGAGCAATAAATCACAACAAAGACCTCGAAATACTTTAAGAGGCACTTTGGTATATGAACGAGTACCAATTATCATATCAGTTAAACAGGATTCAATAGTCGTTCCTTGCAGATGCTGGACAGCCATCACTACATTTTCCCGTGAAGGCAAAATTTTCAAACGTAGCATTCTCGCAGTCTTTTCGTTTATAAAAGAGAGAGAGCTTCCGGTATCTATCAACGCAGTTGTATTGCGACCAGCTATGACAACTGGAAGTGTTGCCGGCAGTGAACACCGTGGTGCTGATTGCACATCGTGGACTGATGGATTTACTGACGCCGTTATAGATGAAGAGTCTTCAGATTTATTCATCTTTGATCGGCAAACTTTGGCAAAGTGACCTTTTTTATCGCATTTGTAGCAATTGGCATTGCGTGCGGGACAATTTTGACGATTGTGGTAATTATATCCACAGAATATGCATTTTCGCCCTGTTATACGGCCAGTTACTATACCTTCATTGTCGAAAGAGGTTTCGGAAGTGGCCAATGCCGAAGGTTGCAATTCGTCGATTCGAGATGCTTCATATGCTGACGAATTACGTTGCGCCAGGTCAAGTGATGAAGCTTGTGAAAACGCTAATTCAAGAGTCAAGTCCTTGTTTTCCAAAAGACGTTGTCGGATGTTATTTGACAAAATACCATTGATAAAAGAATCACTTATAAGTTCGTCGCGGTACTGCGCGGCAGAAACATCTTTAAAATTACAATCTTTACTTAGATTACGCAGAGTTTGTAAAAATTCGTCGATGGATTGACCAGTTTGTTGCTTTGCCGTAACTAGCAGATGTCGTGCAAATATTTCATTCGGCGTCTTGACATATAAGTTATGTAGCACTTCCATAGCTTTACTATAAGCGTCCACATCTTCAATATATTCATAAACATTGTGAGATACTGAGTTGATTAGCCTCTTGAGTTTATTCACAGACTGGCCCTCTTGTACACTCATCTCTAATTCTTCAATGTAGTTCTCAAATGTTTTTCGCCAGTGCTTCCATTCCTTTGCCGCGCTTGGAGAATTCAGATTTAGGTCAAGTCTCACTGGTTTCATCGATGCATCCATATTTAAGATTTTAGTTTCTTAAATTGTTATGACAGTTTATTTATTATAACCAAAATTATGGCTTTAAGAAACTAAAAACGCATCTTAACCCAAACACAAGAACATGCAACATAATTACATTGAGTCACTAAGTATAGCCAAACTTAATCGGACTACCCGTCTAATACTCGTAACGGCACGTAACTAATGCAGTAAGGCAAATGCAGTCCGTTGTCGCTTGACGATATTCAGTGATCATAACACAAAGAACGATAATGTAATAATGACGGAATATAAACAAAGTGTAGCACCCTGCAACAGGAATAACTGAACTTAATTCTCAGTGAGTATTCATCAAATGAAATTGGGTAATTCATTGAAACCAATGATAATATTACAATATTTAAATTTTCATGTGAAACCTTGATAATTTAAGACTATATTTTATAATTTATTGCAAAAATAGGGATTTCATTTTAACTCTGATTGAAAACAATTTGTTTTAAAACTCAAGTTTGAATGAGTTTATTCTTCTGCAGGGGCAGGGGTGGTAAAGACTGCATATTCTGTCGTGCAGAATCATGATCATATACAACCAGAAATCTTATTGGTGGAAACAAGCCGGAAGTATGACAGATTGTAACTAAAATAAGCTAGTTTGAATTAAAGCGAAGAACTTCCCATACAATTGTCTGATTTGACCTCAGTAAAAAGTTATCTAAAGTTTTTGTCAAGCGGTGTTCAAATATTTATTATCAGCACAACCAACCTGCGCGTGTCAATTTTCTGAATTCACTCATTTGCTACACGATCGGGATTTATTATAATTTTTGATCATCACTAACATTTTATTTAAAAATTACCTTTTTTGTCGTACCATTTTCTGTTCTTTTTTCTGAAAGAAGGTATAAATGTTACATAAAATAATAAACTAAAACTTGAATTAAAAGTAGGATTGCACAAAAACAAAATTATTACTTGCTTAGAAATATATAATACTCCAATCTAGTAATATAAAATAATTAGATAATACGTTTTCTTGCTAAATTGCAGTATTCGTCAATCTGGTCCAATGATGTTTAATTTGCGTTTTCTGATCGTGAGAGTCATGCTTATATAATATTTACTTGGTCTCAAGCGCAGAAGTCAGTTTTGTATTTGGAAAAAATTAGTTTGGTATTTAAAGTACCGGTAATAGTATTTTATCCATAATGACTCATGGCGATGCAGTCTCTTTCGATGTCATGGTGTAATTAAATAAATACCTTCGGTAATGCATTTGTCCATAACCTTTTCAGCAACTTCTGGTAGATTTCTTATAAGCCTGCGCATTGGTGTTTGCCGATTTTCTTTGTTGTCGGAATTGCGCGCTAAGTAAATAAATGAAACAACTTTTTGAAATTCTACTTTGTTTTTGCCGATATGATTTTTATATTTTCGTGAGGTTCTTTTCAAAAACAAAAAAGAGACAATTCTTCATTATAGCAAAATAACATAAGAATGAGTTAAAATTGTTGGTAATTTTGAAGATTGCTAGATAAGTCATTGAATTTTATAGGACAAATCATAGTGGCATATTGCTAGCGCGAATTATTCGAAAAAGCACAAATCATCTGTTCGTTTTCTAGATTGTGTGTTTCTAATCCCTATGTGTTAGTGTCGAACTGCCATAACTTCTGATCGATATTAAGAGATATTAAGAAATACGTTATTCTGCTGAAAAATTTAAACAAGCGTAGCCGTATGTTATTTAAACAGAAGAATTTGAAATAAAACTTTGTTAAAATCAATTTAATATTAATGCAAATGTATACGTTTCGCGGCTTTTAGAGCTTTCTTCCAGTCATCTGTTTCAATGATGTACATTGCACAATCTTGGCTATGGTTCTCCGCAGCAACATCCAATGCATTAAGTTTTTTCTCATCCAAATCTCCCACATCTGCGCCATTGCTGAAAATCAATCAGGTGGAAAGGAAGAATTAAATTACTGGCTGGCTTGATAATGAGATGATAAGGTGAAAAAACTTGTTTTTGTTGTTACCTTGGTATTCTTTTTACAAACAAATGAAACGTCATTCGATATCGCTTATTATCGGGAATATTACAAAGATTCTACTGTTTAAATTTAAATATACTAACTCAAGTAACAGCTTGACCATATCAACATTGTCCTTCTCACAAGCTTTGTGTAAAGGCTTCCAAGTCCGATTTTCGTCTGATTTTATCATGGCTCCCGATTCGATCAGAAGTTCGGCACCTTTCTGTCTGTCATTTGCCGCGCAGCAATCTAGAGGCGTTAAATCGTCTTTGTTTCTATCAAAAATGTAACATATAAGATTTTAAATTCGTCAAATTTCAACCAGCGATTTTGTCTTTATTATTCGCATGATCCTGAGGGCTGCACGCCATTTTGCTTCATTGTAAATTAATTTAAAATCAATTAAGATTGATGTTTTTCTGTGACAATACCTTGGTACCGACGTGATGTTGACTTTGTACATACTTACTCGGCGTAAAAATTAGCCCCCGATTGCAACAGTATTCGAACGCAAGTGGCTCTTTCTTCCAACGCCGCCAAATGGAGTGCTGTGTTTTCATTTTTATCAGTGTCATAAACTAATCTGTTATCTAAATCTAAAAGATATTTCACAATCTTCACGTGCCCGTTGATAACAGCCAGGTGGAACGGTGTCCTGAAATCTTTATTTTTCGAGCTTTTTGCACAACCGAGTTGCTCCAAGAGAAACTTAACGTAAAAGTAAAATACAAGTAAACAAAGTAAAATACCATGGCTGTTGTTATTCATTAAAAGGAATGGATTACTATTTGGTCACACTAATAATACATAAAAAAAATAATAAACAATAAATTGAAATATGTTTGGTATATGCTGAAAAAATGTGACATGCAACTTTTATTGGTAAGTAATATTAGAAATTATGACATTATAGCTAATGTGTTTTAACATAGACTACTAAAAGATTGAGAGTGGTTTTATTAAACACACACTGTTCGCACAAAACTAAACATCTGTTTTAAAATCGATGATCATGTACGGAGTCAAATGTCAGAACTAGCCTGTATTTTGGTAGTTCCACCTAAGCGCTAATTTTCTTACGTCAAAATCTTCACATATGTGAACGTAATACTTTTCCAAAAAAAATACTATTAGGTTTCCCTTTTTTTAATTTCGTTTTATATCCATCTGTGACATCATGCTAGAGTTAGACTAACGACTATGTTGGCAATATACATGCAGCTCTTTGGACGTCAATTATTTAATTATTTTATGTTTTTGTTGTAGGCGCTCCTCACAGTTGTTATTGTAATATTGCTAAATATTTCAGTCAAGTTATTGTGATTCAATGTTCAAGTTACTGCTTGACGACTCTTGAGGACACAACGTCAAGTAAGTTTATACATATGTTTTGTGTACCAAGCTTTACATGGTTTGTATTTGTTTTCCTGTCAGGCCTTGAAAGTGCCGGCAGAGGTAATTTGTGTGTTTATTTATTATAACTGTTAGTGATGCCATATTTGGTCATTAGGTGATTGTGTGACATGATAAAGATATTTAAGGTTTGTTTACAATAATATAGGCCTACTGATACGATACTGCCCCGATCTTGTTATTATTTGTGGATTTATTATTTTTATGTTATTTCAGAAAACCGTACTGTGCATCTGTTCGTACTGCTGTATTGTTGTTCGTACTATGTTGTTTGTTCGTACTGTGTATCTGTTCGTATTGTTTTACACTGTTTGCAACACATCAGAAGAAAATAAAACATATTATGCTGATACAGTGATAGTACGCGTCTTTTTGGGAGTGTAACCTAGTCGTCAAGAGTATTGGTATTCGCCATCCGTACACCCTATGTGGGCAGAGTCCGCGCTCCACAATTAACATTTAATCAAGGCTCTGCGCCAACACTAACCTTTGCAAATGTGAAATAACCTTTCATTGCTGCAATGTGAAGTGGAGTGTTTCTGTTCTTATCCGGAATATTCACCATAGCAATGAGCTCTTTTTTCTTTCCACTTTCTTCTATTATCTGATTGAGCATAATGAAACAGTAAGGCTTTTATACATTACTACATATATGAAGTCGTTAAGTAGGGAAATAAAGTTACCTTTTCTAAAACTGTCAACTGGTTTTTTGTTGCACACACGTGGATAATAGTACTATCATTTGCTTGTACATTTATATCAACTTGTGCCGTATTCAACAAATAAACAACAACGCGAGATTGTCCATACTTTGCTGATGTCAACAAAGCTGTGTATCCTTTACGAGTTTTAGTTTCTCTTTCTGCGTTTCTGAATAAATAAGAACAAAGTATTCACAATATCACTAAAGATGATAAAAGTTAGCTCTCTCATTTATAGAAAAAATACATTGTGATCTCAAAAAAACGGAAACCATAAATTTGTCAATTACTTTTGTGAAAATGTAGTAAACCATTTTATTTTGTTGAAACTCCAACTTTTTTTGTATAGTTGTACACCAACATTTCACAAACCGAAGGCGTGTTGCACAAAAGTTATGTTCTCTCTAGCATATGTTCCCCTATCCGTTGCGCAAATTTGTCAAGTCTTCCCTCTGATTTTTGATAAATCGCACATTCTGCTGTATGGGCATGTCAATAGCAAAAATATTGATTAACTGGGTACAACACCTTTGAAGGAAATATCACCGAGACCGTATACCCATTGAAGGGCTCATCATGCATGGGTCATTGCCAAACATCATATAACTGGTCCGTATTGGTTTGAAGACGAAAATCAGGCGGTGAGTATGAAACATTATGTGGTGGTGATGAGAACGCGTTTGACATCATTTGGACAAAGTAGAGAGATTGATTGAGTAGATTTGTGGCTTCAAGAAGACGGGCGATGCCCCACATATCAAATCGTGCCCTAGAATGACTGATAGATCGATTTCAGAAAAGGCTGATCAGCAGGAATTGAGACGTCGATTAATTGGCTCGGGACACCGAAGGTTTATATCCGTGGGAGAATTTGAAGAACAACGCGTATCAGAACATTTCTTGAACAATTTGTCAACTCAAAACAACAATTATAAAAATAAAATTCTATAGAATAGTTCGTGTTTGTTAGTGACAATTTTGCGAAACGAATGAACGGTGGCTCTAGTACCCAGGAGGCAATTTAGAATATATATGATTCCATGACAGTATAACTTTTGCGCAAAAAGTCTTTGATTCCTGAAATTTCGAGTACAATCCCACACAAACGTTAACAATACTCAAATAATTTTCTCCTTTATATAGAATTTATTGAAAAATTTATTGTTTTCGTTATTTTGGGACACATTGTAGCATAGAGCAGTGATTCCCAAAGTGGGCGATATCGCCCCCCAGTGGGCGAAAACGATACAGAGGGGGGCGAAAAAGTCTAAGGGGGCGATTTCGCGAAAGCTGTTTTATGTTCGGCGCACTTAATTCTCTACTCTGTGTGCATTCGCAGGCTTGAAACATGTGGGCGATATTCACACGCGAAAGAATTTCTGGTCTCGTCTTTGCAGTAAGGTAAGGTAGTTTGCGTATCCCAGTGGTCGGCAAAATACTGCCGAAGTAAAATAATCTGGCCCGGGACGATTCACTGAATGGACCTTTCCCCGACATTTGACCGCGGAAAATTCTTTCCATACTTTACCATTTTAAAATTTTCAGTGCTTATTTTAAGAGTGGTTTCGCGAGCTGTGGCCTGTAAAATGGGGTATTTGATTCAAACTATCATTCTAATACACACCATTTAACAATCTGTTTTTTAAAAGTACCGATAAAGAATTTTAGCCTAGTCTATCACAGCTATTTCTACGCTAATTTTTGATTGCTGTATTTAAACTGAAACTCATAGAAAGACAAAGTAATCATTGACTTATTTGATTTATATTTAAATTCCCGAAAAACAACTAAATACTAACGAATATAATTCAAAAACGCGAAAATGAGGTAGTGCTCACGACCACCCCTGAAAATCTGTCCGAGTGAGAGTGTCTGAGCGCCTGCGAAAGGGGGCATTGTTACGTTTTTTGCATCTTGCTGATTGGCCAATGTCACGAAGTAAACAAGGAAGTCTATGCCCGGTGAAATATCCAAACGGCGGTTTTGACGATGAAAATTTTTTATTTATAATCTACGCTCGAGGAGTAAATTACATTTTTTACGTAACAGAATTTATCGTGAGACACGTTTAGAGTAAATTATACTATATCCTAATAATTTAGTGAACAGCCACTCGTTTAACGAGCCTACAATTTATTTATAATTAGACAAATGGAAACACGCAGAAATGTTGATGCTGAGTGCTGGGGTTCAATAGCGCAGTAAATATTCGAATATATTGCAAAGCAATAAGGAAATAAAATTCATATTCATATTCGGGAGATTCATCACTGCTTGATTTTTGTAAGAATGTATCTTCTTAAAGAAAATATATATTTATCAAAATTTCACAAATCGTGCGAAAATATTCTTTTCGATGTTTGGAAGTACATATTTGTGCAAACCATTATTTTCGAAAATGCACATTACAAAGAACAAGCAAAGAAGTGGGTTTGGTGATACCCATTTAGAAATTTTTTCAACCTTGGCGTCGTAAAGCTATCCAGCGCGATGCAGCAACGAGACAGTGTCACATTAAATGTCATTGTAATATTTTTTTAATAAGACGACTGAGTTGAGTCCACGATTGTCGCAGTTCTCGCGTGTGTTCCGTTTTTAACTCTCAAAAAATATATGCGACCCGCAAAAGACTAGCAACCCTGAATTTTGTCCTGCGAGCGACATAAAATTTGCCGACCCCTGGGCCGTAGCCGATAGTCAGTCACGGCTCCTTCCACATCCGAGTCCATGAATCCAAAAAAATGGCTGGTTAATTATGGACTGGAGGCCGTGATAGGATGAGGAATCGGGGATGGATTTTTCCGAAGTATTTTGGTGCAGGTCATCAGGCTGTACGAATGAATGAAATGTACGAAAATCATTATTATAAGTTTGGGAAAATTATTTTTGTTCTTATTATTTTAATGTGAAATGGGGTGAATTTAGGAAGTGAAATGCTATAAGGCAAGATTACACGGCGGTTTTTGAGGAGGTAGGACCCTGGATTCTTTCATTTCCGACCTATTATATGGTGAAAAAGGGGTTTTCAGCCGTGCTACTATTGCTATTAGAACAATGAAATCACCTTTCCATCAGTAAATGGGGTAATTTTAGATATACTAAAAAACTCGCTGAAGAACACCAAGCTCATCTATCTCATTGAAAAACACTATAAACTATGATTTGTCTTCTTATTTGGTCTGTAATAAATTCGATTCTGACTTTATATTTTTTTGTAGTGCAGGGGGGCGATGAAGTTGTATAAACTACTTTAGGGGGGCGATGGTCAAAAAAGTTTGGGAACCACTGGCATAGAGTATAGACCTGCTTTCACAGTGCCAAGGATTAATGAGGAACCAACCGTAAACCAAATGTCCAAATCCAGGATTTTTATATTTCAGCTCATTTCAATTCTTCACGTGGAATTACGGTTTATTCAGATGAATGGTAGATTCTTTGTAACAAGAATGAAAAATGGAAAAGGAAATGACGTTTTTGTTTTTACTAATTATTTAGTCTTACCATAATAATTTTACGAGGCCCATATATTTTCCATTGTCCACAAACTAAAAGTGTTAATACGCAAACCAAGAAATATAAATTTACTTTTCTGTTAATATAACAATTTGGAAATACATTAAAAAAAATAATAATTGAAATTTACAGGAAATCCAAATTATCATACTTTTCAATAAGATAGTCCACAATTTTCTCATGTCCATATTTCGCTGCTGTAATCAGTGGTGTTGCTCCACTCTCCCAAGTTTCATTTATTTCAGCACCGTTATTCACCAAAGCCTCGATTATCTCAATTTCTCCAACAACACATGCCAGATGTAACGGAGTCATTTCATTTTTTTGTTTTGCGTTTATTTTCAAATTTTTGTTTTCAATTTCTCTATCATCTGCCCAAGTAATAGGTAAATATATGAATCAATTTAATAGTAAACGTATAAATAAATTCATTTCTGGAAATATCTTGATACATTGGTTAACATTTAATACATTTATTTTACTATCATTGTGAAGTGTGGATAGATGCATGCAGACCAATCATTTAGTTTTGACAACTTACATTCCCTGCACTTTGTCGCCAAAATGCGGACAATTTCTTTATGTTTCCCATATACGGCATGGTGCAGAGGGGTTGCTTTATTTTTGTCTTTCTTCATAAGTAAAGCACCCATATCCTCGCCAGCATTTTCGAGTATTTTTTTAACGACCTAATGTACAATAAAATTAAATATGTCATTCAAAAGGTTTTGTCCAACACTTACACAAATATTATTCAAATAAAAACAGCTGAATATTTTTTTTCATACTTTGATTACGTTGATCCAGCCGACTTTTTTTGTGGTATTTAGCACATGACTGGCAAATATTGATGAGTATATGACAAGTATAGTTTTGAAAAATATAAAGTGTTGTACTAATGAAAGCTACTAAGTCTTACTTCAAAATGTCCCTCGGCAGCTGCAATGTGTAGGGCTGTCTGTTTCCAGCTGTTTTCCGTAAGAATCTGGTTTCTATATGACTCTAGCAATTTTTCTACTACTACAACTTTTCCACACATTGATGCGATATGCAGAGGCGTATTTCCTTGGTCGTCTTTTTCCTGAAAAGATAACAAAGCATCAGGTTTTGTCGTATTCGGGATTTCATTTTTAAACGGATTTCTAATTTCAATATTTGCTTTGTATTTAAAGACATCATATTTGTCTGTCCCAGACCCAAGGATCACATGTGGCCCGCTGTATCATTATCTAATATTGGTGATAACAAAAATAGCATTTTGGTATTGTTTTGTCATAAACATAACCGGGGAGATATTCCAAAATCTGAAACATTGTCGCATCGCATCATCGTTGAATTTATCAGTGACATGGATAACTTGAGACATTCAACAGGGTAATTGAGTGAATGGTGTGAATGGCCAGCCTGAACTGATATAAAAGTTAGTTATTCAATTTCCGATACCCTTGAATGACCTAAAACTTTCACAAATTCATTTTATCCCTTTTTTCAGAGATATTCGTTAATAATATCTCAATAGACAGCTAAATATCTGCCTAGCATCCTATTCCCCATCGCATTATCTTTTCGTAATCAGCGTAAACAGTCACACTAAAATTGGCACCTAGTGTCAAAAAATTTAGTGAATAACAAGTAATGTAACAATTTTACCCTGCTGTAGCCTACCTCGCATTTTCTAAATTAGTAATCGCTCAATCTGCAATGATTTGTAAGTCGCTTTGTAAATATGGATTCGAAAGGAAAGCTGACCAATTCAAACAATTTTTTTTTATCTGATATTGAAGAAAAAAGTACTTGCTTGCGGAAAACAAAGCCTCAATGCTTGATATGTCTGCAAATTGTGTCCGTGTCAAAAAAAGTATAATTTTAACGACATGTTATCGATGCTCGGGTGCGCTTCATTTATGGATGCGCTTTCTTCTTCGTAAAGAGTTTGGAACTAATGTGGCCCGCAAACAACACAAAATTAATATTGTGGCCCCCTTCGCCGACAACCTTGAACCACCCTGATCTAACTTGATTTTCCTAAACCCAAATAATTTCGATACCTCTCACAAAATATACTAACAAGTAAATTAGGATTTCTTCAATATTTAGCGCATGTATGTAATTTCGAAAGATCCTTTGTACACAGCTCCTGTCAAAAAACACCCCCACTACCGTTCAAAAGAAAAAAATAATTGGACATTATCCAGTTAGAGTGAGGGCTAGGGATGCAGATTGCGCAAGAAATTGAAAATCGCAAGTCATTTCACACTCTAACCATACAACTGGATAATTACTAATTTGTTTTTTTCAAATGTTGGAGGAAGGTTGTTTTTACAAATCTCACATTTTTGCATTAGTGGTGGGGATTAGTACAAAATATCCGTTTCCAATGAGTGTGAATGTTTCCTGCTCGGGCCTAAACTACTCTATTTCTCACAACTTCAATTTTAGTAGCACAGGAAATGGTTTTAAAATAATTAAAACCTTGTTTTGAAACCGATACGACAAACTATAACAAAGAAATCATTTCTCATTGCATGATGTTTCGCACTCGATTGAACGATTCCCATATATACGATTTATAAGTCATAACTCGACAAGTTTCCTATGTGCACGTTCCAGGACTTGTAAGACAATGGATTGGTATCTATGTTTCTGCTTATTATCTCGTCTAATGGAAGTTAAATTGAATCATGAAAACAAAAATTTAAAACACTTGCTGGAGCAACCCATATTCGAATAAATTTACTCGTATGCAAATTTCAAACGAATAGATAACGCTAAATCAATCTTGAAATCAATAATTAGTTTCAACCTTAATGCTGTCTACGCATTGTCGTTCACGATCAACACTTTCAATATCTCCTTTCATGCTTGCCCTGTGCAAATCTGTTATCTTGAATTTTTCCATGATGTTTGATGCGTTTCCGCGGTTTTCCCTAAATATTGAAATATCATATTTATGATCGAAATATATATTTAAGTACAAGTAAACGATAGGAAATATATTAAAAATAAGGAATATATACCAAAAGTAAACTGTAGTTTAAACTTCAAACCACTGGCAGTTAATGATTTCTTCCTGTCTATAGGCCAACTTCATACAAAGGCTCTAGTCGGGTTTTATTATTAGAGATCAAACCCAAGACTAAGCCTGGATACCAACATCAAACCGAAAAATTATTTATTCGAAGCTCTGAACTATAGGTTTGAAATTGATGTATATTTAGCCAACTAAATAGCGTTAAATTCTGATTCTCGTCTGTAATCTATTCCTCTAAACCAAGAGATATCAGCATTTTCCCTTATACTCGAATAGAGAAGTATATTGGATTGATTGAAAATGTTTGTGATTTAATGTATATTAAAATATTATCAACATTGTTATATGTTGTTGAAAAAAGTTATGGACAATTTTTTTTCTGATTCTGAAACCCCATCCTATGTTGAATGCAATGTTTTAGGTCGTTAAGAATACCAGAATAATTATGACTATACCTACTTCATCGATAATGCATCACGTTGGCTTTCGGGATCTCCATCGCCAACTCCAACTTTATTGAGAAAACTTCCCATTTTCGAACCTGAAAACTATTGTGGCAGAATCTGGTATTGTGCAGAGAGCAGAAAATTTTTAAGGAGACGAATTATATTTTATTTATTTTACGCCACACGCCACGGCGTAATAATTCTATTGAATAACAATTGAATGTGTGAGAATAATTCTATGAATCGTGTAACATAAATTACTGAACACAATTGTTCGATATGTGGTCAATCAATGAAATTGACATAACCGGCGCTATAGTAAAACGTGAAAGCTAGAATACTCTAAAACGTAGAAATCTCGAGGAAGTTTTTAAAAAACGGTAAAGTGCTGTTGTAGCGAACTACGGTATTTGGCCTCATTTTAGACGGTATCTCGGGAACATAGAAAGAAGCATCGATCCCTCTACCATGTATGCGCACTAACTCTACAGCTAACCTGACTTCAACACGAAATAGACGACAGTAAAATTCTTAGGTTAAAATTTACTTATCAATAACACAACATTACCAATAAATAGCGCAATTTTGACTCAAATGTGTATTTATCACTTTAGGTCAAATAAGCTTGTCATCATAACGCCACTGATTTTGATTCGCGCACGATGACCTACGCACAAATTTGAGAGGTAATCCAAAATCCATTCCGAGTATAACGTGTCCTGAGCTGTCTCTTGAACGAGAAAAATGCACTTTCTCAACGGTAGTTGTTTGACTAATTCAACATTCTGTGTGGACAAAAGATAATGAATGATCTTTGTAGGAACAAACAAAACAAACGCTCAAATACTGGTAATATGGTAAAATAATTTCATTTTATATAATTTATTATTCCCAAACGGTAAAAAACCTATATCGCAATGCCAAGCAATAAATCAAATTTATTAGTATTATTTACTTTAGTCCTAGGAAACAATACAAGACGCCAAAATACCATGGTGATGATGGGTTGTTCAAACTTTGCTAATGTTCAATGATTTGTGTAATCAAAATCCACAAAACTGTCATCATTTATAAATCATCTCATAACGTTTACCTTGTATGATAACTAAAATCTGAAATTGATCTCTCAAGTCGCAAATCGCGCCGCATGTACATATCAGTTGTATCCCAAAATTTGAAATTTCGACAATTCCAATGTTGAAGTGTATTGTAGTTGTTAATATGACTGCATAAACGTTTTCATTCTATATACTGTGGAACTGTTGCGAAACTAGTATAAACAAAAAGGTGAAAAGGTAAACTGAAAATAATTAATTCTGCATAATATCAGTCCGTTTAGATATAGACAAACTTGTAGATTATAAAACCACCCCGATTATCACAAGAAAATGAAGTTATAAAATCGTTCTATTTTACGATTGTTTTTAGGATTCAAATGAAAACTAAATTCCTTTATTTATGTTGCGCATCTTCGAGTGAATCTAAATCATTCTGCTGCAAAATCACGGTAGTTCATTCAAACTACATCTGGTCATGTCGCAACAAGATTATTGTTTATTTGTTTTCTTGATAATAGATAGATAATAAACTTAGATATTGTACGCGCAACAGATTATAATGCGTAACAAAACTTAAAGTAAACTAAAGAGTAGAGCCCTTCACGAAGTTTAAAAGATGTACTTGAATACAAATCATTGCTTGATTGCAAATATCCGTACAATACATTATATTCGATATATTTAGGATGCAAGTATTGCTAAATAGCTTACTTTCATATTATTTGGATTGATATTTATATAAAAACCGCAAAATGTTGCATGAAATAACGTGGCCTATAGGACTCAGTGAGAATTATACAAAAATTCATAATATGTGCTGCATTTCCGCGAGCTGCAGTTTATTTATCCTCTGAACCGAGTTTAGCGAGCATGAGTGATTTATTTAGTATTTCAAAGAGAAAATCAGGCAGAAATGAGGAAGAAGTATTGACCTTTATTCCTTAGGCCTATATAATTACCAAGTCGTAAAGTACACATTAACAATCACGAAATTTTTTTCCTGTCGAGTGCGGCGTGATTTTTTTTTTCTATAATTTGGCGCCCCACGAAGAAAAGGTTTGGGAACCGCTTTAACATGTGAATCTTCTTACGATGGAAGTACAGTCTCAGTCGATCCGATCATATTCCGCTTTATTCTGGTGGGTTTTCATCTGCAGCGATTCGCAAATCATCTGATTACGATTTGTGTAATTAGCCATTACGTCTAATATTGAATCGTTTGAAAATGGCTGTACAAGTAAATATTTTATTTAATTCATAAATGAATAGGAACGGGTGGAAGTGGACAAAAATCTGCCAGAAAAGTGCACAAAGTCCATCGTTTTTTGTAGCGATTTTTCAATTTATTGAATGTCAGGGCAGACGATAATGATATTCCGTAATAAACTTCAAAGCCTTTGTTCTTGTTTATCCCCTTCCTCAGATAACATTGAACCGTAATAACGTTATTTCATTCGAGATTTTGGAATTACTCAAATGAACACCACTTGATAAAATACTGTGTTATCTCAGTCTACAAACCCAAGTGTTATGTAGCTTACGAATACTTGGATTTTTCGAGTTAATCAATGCCAAGGCAGACGAAAATAAACAAATTGTGTTATAAACTGTAAATTCGTCGTCCGTGTTTACCTCGCGCTCAGATTTTGTATATTTAAGAAAACGGCAGTGTGCAAACATTACAGGGTACAAGTATCGCCACTTGTGTTAATATTTACAATAGAAACTTGAGCACTGTTTGTCGCGCAATATTAGATAATTGAAGTGTTGCAAAAGTGTGGTATTTGCAATCGTATGCGTTGTAGGATGTTAAAAACTGACTCGTATCGGTCGTGGATCAAATACTTTAGGCAACTGAAAAAACAATATCCGATAAAAAAGGCCGGCTCCTTCAGCAAGTGGCGTAACCGCCATAACTGTCTCAGAAGCTGTCCCGTGGTTATTTGGAGGAGATGAATATGTATTTTTTTTTATACTTGGCTGCTAATTAATGTAAAGTGTGTCCGATAAATTATTAATTTATCAAAATAAATTATACAGTCTGAGATTTTATCGTAGATCTCGAGATCTTTCTCACAGCGAAATATTGAAACCCGTTATCTCGCAACAGGGAGATACCATGAACACAATTAAGTTACTATGACAACACACTTAAGATGCTCGTTTCGACCGTGGATTGATCAGAAAATTATTATCCGTCGAAAAAGTCGGTTCTTTCCGCGAGTGGCCTAATTGCACGGACTGGAAATTTGGAAACTATGGAATGGAAATTTCCGGATTCCGATTTCACCCCTCCCCATTTTTGGTAATTCTGGCAGCGCTCTTCAACATACGTCTTATCGAATCTTCATTATCACAATTTGTGTCGGAATTATAAGGAAAATTCTAGTTTAATAATGCCTCAGATAAGTATTCCATGATATATTGTGATTTTCATCATAACTAACCCGAACCCAAACTGGATAATGAATGATTTGTTATTTTGAATCGTGGAGAAGGTGCTTTTTTTAATCAAATACACAATGAATAGTTTTTCCAAATGTATTATTGGATATAAGACTTACTGTTTTCGGTCAGTAAATAGTAGCAAAATCGTGTCGGGAACGGGGATCAATGATACCACAAAAGATAGATAAAAGGTTATAATATACTTGTTTTGTAAGTTTTCTTTGTTTCCGCCTGTTCTTCATTTCTTCATAGTTCTGCATCTGAGAAGCTGAGATAACATTAATATTAATTCAGTCTAATAAAATTCATATAAAATATTTACTTGTGTTGTAGATTTTCATTGTTTCTTTCTGTTCCTCATTTCTTCAATCTTAATAGTTCTGTATATGAGAATCTAAAAAAAAACATTAATATTAAAATAGGCCTAATCGAATCCGATACAATATTTACTTGTAATGTAGATTTGTCCTTGGTTCCTTCTGTTCTTCATTTTTTCAGAGCCTGCATCTGAGAAGCTAAGATAACATTAATATTAATTTATCCTAATGAAATTCCCATAGCATATTTACTTGTATTGTAGATTTTCCTTGGTTCCATCTGTTCTTCAGTTCTTCATAGTTCTGCATCTGAGAAGCTAAGATAACATTAATATCAATTTAGTCTAGTAAAATCCTTATAGAATATTTACTTGTATTGTAGATTTTTCTTGGTTCCGTCAGTTCTTTAGTTCTTTCCATTTCTGCATCTGAGAAGTTGAGATAACATTAATAATAATTTAGCTTAAAATCCATATAAAATGTTTACTTGTATTGTAGATTTGTTCTTGGTTCCGTCTGTTTTTCATTTCTTCAATTTTGATAGTTCTGCGTCTGAGAAGCTAAAAAAAACATTAATAATAACTGTAGCTTAATGAAATCCATATAAAATATTACTTGTATCGTAGATTTGTCATTGGTTTCGCCTTTCTTCATTTCTTCAATCTTTATAGTTCAGCTTCTGAGAAGCTAAGATAACAATATTAATAACTGATTCTAATATAATCCAATAATACATTTAGGCTACTTGTTTTATAGATTTTCCTCGATTCCGTCTGTTCCTAATTTCTTCAATAGTCATAGTTCTACATCTGAGAATCTAAGATAACAATAACGATGACTGAACCTGATAAAATCCATAAAAATATTTACTTGTGTTGTATACTTTTCTTAGTGCCGTCTGTTCTTCATCCTTCATAGTTCTGCATCTGTGAATCCAAGATACCATTAATAATTAATTTGATCCATTTAAAAGATTAACTTGTATTGTAGATTTTTCTTGATTCCGTCTGTTATTCATTTCTTCATTCTTCATCTTTCTGCATCTGAGAAGCCAAGATATCCATATAAAACATTTACTTGTGTTGTAGATTTTCCTTGGTTCAGTCTGTTCTTCATAGTTCTGCATCTTTAAATAAAAAATAACACTGATAATAACTTAGCCTAATGAAATCTATATAAATATTGACTTGTATTGTAGATTTGTTCTGTTCCATCTGTTCTTCATTTCTTTAATCCTCATATTTCTGCATCTGAGATGGTAAGATAAAATAAATAATAGTTAAACCTAATGAAACTCATATTAATTATTCACTTATATTGTAGATTTCTTTGATTCCGTCTTTTCTGAATTTTTTTGATTTTTATAGTTTTGCGTCTGTTTCTTATTTCTTCAAGCTTCGTAGTTCTGCGTCTGATAGGCGAAGATAATATTAATCCTAATTTAGCCTAATTAAATCCATATAAAATCGGGTAAAAGATTATTTATCCAATTATTTGTTTCAGATGCATGGACATGGTGAAGATGCATGTTGGAGGAAGCCGTAACTGGTCAGCGAATTTTGTTTCAACATGGAAAGCCTAAAATTAGATTATTTTGCGATTGTACGCTTTCACGTGATTTTATAAACAACTTGATTTTTATATTTAAAAAATAACATTCATTCACAAATCACAACAGGGCCATTGTTCGCACCGTGTTCCGCAAGTTTCTCACTGCGGAAAACATTTGTGCACCCAGTCACACTGCTATGGGAATCCCGCTTTGGAATGCAGAATCAGCAGGTGCGAAGGATGCAGGGTCAGTTATTTCGACATTTACGGTCGTCAAATTGTATCTCGCAATCAACCGCTTGGTACAGCGGTCAACTATGTTCAAGGATATCGCCAACTGTAATGAAATATGTTGTAACCAAATAAACCGTTTTTATTTTTATTTTATTAAATTTATTATGTTCCATTCGTACCTCAGAATGCACAAGACACCATGGTGGCAATTCACGAACGTATGTTAACTATTTACACCAGGGCTTGGGTTTTCTAGTAGCTGCAGACACTAAAATTTTGGTAATTCAGCTTATGACATGTGTTGTTCGCATAAACTCAGATATGGGCGTTGCAACGCAAAAGAATTGGAATTACTCGCACGAACTAGATCAAACTAAAGTAAAAACTCGTATCGCGGGCCTCGCACGATTCAAAACTGTCACTTCTCTGCAGGTCGCACTGGTTTTCCTTGTGTGCAGCATTTGACCCACGAGCCGCAGGTTGACATCAGCTTACCTTCTTGAAAAATTCAGCACTGCAATTCAGAGAGCTTAGTAACAAGTTTGATAGTTTCCTGTCTCTTTGCTAATTTTTCCTCGCGCGCTTAGAAAATAATTTGTCTCCAAAAACGTTGATATTGAACTAACGAGAATAAATTTGAGCATAAGTTAATTATTTCGGTTTTGGGAACCAAATTTTATGGCAACTTACCGAAGACTTCAAGTTTAGTTGTCACTAACATTGTCATATTATTGTGAGCGAGACGTAAACGCAAATTCAAAATGAGATTTTTAAAAGTGTGAATCAATTGAAAGATAAAGGATTTTTCAGTGGCACCAACTAGCCAAAATCCAATAGGCAGCGCTATTTTCAAAATTAACAAAATTGCGGTGACAGAAATCGTCCACAACCAGCAGTTATTTTATTATACACTGATACTAATTTAAACTTTTATTTAGGTAAAGGTGGAAACTACAATTCTGTGTGTCATCATCTTACCATGCCCCACCAACAGTCACCGGAGGGTGATGATTGAACAAATTAATGCATACGTGCTTTGCTAAAAGGCAAGATTACGAACTTTGAACAAATTCTGTTAAAGATAGATAATAAAATTGGTGCTAAATATCATGATTGTTACTACTGGAAGTCAAACATCTAAGCGCTAAGCCCTTATTTGTACACGTGTCTCCCATTCTGAAACTTATATCAAATGAAAATACATCGAACTGAAACATCTCATGCGTAAATGCGTTAACAAAAAACTTTATTCACATATATACATGTTCATTGCATTGGAAAGCATTATAGATCTCAAAATGTATATTTGTAATTGTACGTTTAGATCCTAATAAAAAAAATATAGCATCCAAAATCTCATGACAAATCTCGCAATACTAACTATACTTTTAAAAATCTAATTTGATAAATAAAAAACGATTGCAGATTGCAGTCAAGATCAAGACGGTTTTAATGAGTTTCCATTACTTGCCCTTGTTTCAGAGCTTGAGATTGAACAAAATAGATGTATAGAATGTAAAATTTATTCTGGGAATTTTTTGTTCAAATTCATGATTTATTTTGTAATTCGTATATATGAACATTGTCGAAAATATATTTAAGATATGAGTAGTTTTGAAATAGATTGCGCACAACTGGAGAAGATAGTCTCAATATTTGACGGGCGAATTGAGCGGTAATTTTTGAGGTCAGTGTCTGTGGATATTTCATTTCCACCGTGTTTTAGGTGCTTTGCAATTTACCTGGAAGAATAATAAGAACATAGAAGATCCTTTTTGATTATACTATGGCTTTTAATTGTATAGGAAAATATAGTTAGAGTTAGGATCATAAAAAAACCAACGCTGAAGAGAATTTAAATCCTGTTTACCAAAACAGTAACTTAAATGACGTTTTTGTTGTTTTGAACAAACTATACACCACTTGTCAACAAATAGGGAATCTGTGGCAAACAGTTCTAGTTGTTTGTTCAAATTATAATTATGTGCGGGTCAATGACTCGCGCGCGCTCCAATTGAACAATAAAGTCGAGTATGTTCCAAACAGAAAAACATATTCAAAGATCAAGATCGTCGTTATCATCTTTCCAATCATATTTATTCTTTCCCATATGCATTTTCATCATGGTTTCAATGCTTTGAGCGCGTTTGTTAACATCATATACTCGTAAGCGCAGCTTGTTCACTTGATTTTTAACAGCTTCGTCTTTTGTTTTTCTTCCCCGCTGTAAAAATATTATAATTAAACTAAAATAACATATAAATGTCTGATGTTCATGCTAATTTTGTTCAAAAAAAAATTAAAAACTTTATTGGGAGAATTAATTTTTGTGTAGTTGTCTTTCGACGAACTAATTCTTTCTAATGTTCATCAGTATCTACTAATCGCATTATTAAAATATGCCGTGGACTATCAAAAATGAGCAATGATTAATGATTTGAGAATAGTTTATATATTCATGCAAAGCAACGAACGATTGATGTTTGAGCATCTTTTATTTCTTCCAAATCGTCAGTGATTCCAATCCATTCTGATGAACCTTCATCTGAAACTTCAATCCATTTAGAATCTTTCCCGTACCAAGTTAATTTACTCTTAGGTATGGGACTATACATTGTACTAGTACTTTTCCAGGGTAACATCTTTTCTGTCTTTAACAGTAAGTCCACCTGCAAATTTAGTAACCGTGTTTTGTATCATGCATATATATAAAATCTTGAAAACAATTTTTACAGAGAAAACTACAAAATATTAGGTAGAATATGCACAGGGAACGGATTTCATTTACACTAATGTATACAATACACAATTTTTTTTATAACTGTCATGTTGTTGGTGTGCTGGACTGATTGAGTTGATTGTTAGTATCGTAGACTGTACCTTATTTCCAATTTTTATAGTGTTGTTAAAGGAGAATAAAGGTTTTCATTCATTTATCTTGTGCCGCCATCTATCGGCATTTCTATGAATTACCATTAAATGTTTCAATCTGACAACGAAATCACACTGTGATAATATATATATTATTGGTTTACACTTACATACAAGACTCTTGATTCCATTTCTGCCTCTTTTATAACTTCTTTAATGTCATCCACAGCTAAACCAACCTGAAGGTATATTGACTGGAATTACTGGCCATCATCACAAAGAGTACATTTTTATATTCAAGAACAATATATACGAACATCATATAAATAGGCAAGCATGGAAGAATCATAGACTGATAATACAGTAAGTGTTCAACTTCAGTTAGTCGTAACAAAACCCTTCTGGTGATAGCAAAATTTAATGCACCTATGGCTGCGGGATGCAAACACTGCGCTAAATACATCTCCGCTACCTTAAAAAAAACTTTCCGACTTTCGCGACGTACGAGAATGAAATCAAAAAATAAAAGTAATAATATCATATTCACATACCAACATATTCATCACGATGATGCTCATAATTATCAAGAATGCAACAAATACGATGTAAGATACTACTTCGTAGTATACCTGGTAACGTAAAACAATAATAATAGAATAAAACAACCTACTTGATCTAAGGTAGTACAGTATACGCCAAGCAAATAATCCATGTCGAACTCGAATGGTGCTGGCATTATCAATGCTTAGTTGTATGGAGTATTAGATGCTAATTTTGAAGGAGTGACCCTTTTTCTCCGATGGTTCTGAGCGAATTTCCATACCCCTTCCATGATATGACATAACTAGGTAATCAAACGTGCGAGAAACTTCCCCGAAGTCCCGTTGGAAAGCTTGATTTCGTCGCTTTCCTCTAACTCTCTAACGTAAATTCTCTCTACCCTATGCCGGTAATAAGAAAGAAATTTCAAAAATTTTCGGGAGTATTCCCACTATTAGCGCTGTGGTGAACAACAAGTTAACAACAAGTTAAAAGAGATAAAGAGAAATTTCTTGAAAGAACGTCACCTTTCAAACAAGACCAGACTGAGCTTCTGAAGTGGAACGAAATGCGAGCTATCGAAGAGAATTTGATCTCTTGTTTTCGCGAGCTGTCTGGTGTCCTTGTTTGTTTATTATGTGCGGAAAACAGTTACTCGCTTGTTCAAAATACTTCACATTCAAATAATGACAAAATTTTTGTATATTTCTAAGCTTCGAAATACTTACACAAATAAAGTTCAACTTGTAGTAAAATAGAAAATATACAAAAAAAAAAACACATGATGCGTTCACCGTGATTACGAACACTCGGATCAAGCATGGATCACAACATCAACGTAAAATATAAATATTATGTAAATTTTCTGCCACGTTATGACCAAGTTTCCCAATATCTTGGCGTTTGGCAGTAAAAAGGTCTTAAGATGTAAATTACCCAAACGATAACTCGCGATTTACGAATGAAAACTGTATGAATGAAATTTGAATATGAATTAACTCAATCTGAAATCGCATCAGTTCATACCGGTTCAGAATACCCAAATTAAATTACCCAAAAGATAAATCTGGTCGCGATTTACGAATGCAAATTATACAAATGAAATTTGAATATGAATTTATTTTCAAACTGAAATCGCATCAGTTCATACCTGGTCGGAATATTCAGAGCTCGTGTGTTCCGCTGTGAAAATTGATTCATATTCGATTTCCCCAATCATCATGACAATTGTTTTCAAAACCGAGTTCCATAAATTTCCAAAAACAATCTGAAAACATAGCAATATAACATATACGGCTAATTTAATGCAAATGAGGTTGCCACAAGAAATAACTCGGCGAATCCTATACTCGGCTGCATCGATTTGTCTATTTCGACATTTTCATTTTTTTTTCAATTTCCATTTAATGATTGTATGTGTTCAATGTAGTGATTGTTCGGCGCTTAAACATAATTTTTAACAGTCTTCTCAAAACGCCGTATAGAATATAACGAGTGAGCAGAACAAATGTAAAATATACTGTGGCGTATTTATATAGTGAAGGTTAAATAAATATTACTTTCACTTTAACTTTCCAATGTTCTTGTTGCAATGAAATAACTTCTCAAAGAGTGAAATGTATTAATTACCAAAAACATTGATTTTTACGTTATTTTCCTCATTATTATTCTTATTGCATATTTTCAAATCAAGAAAATTTCAGTATTTTAATTGCGAAATACCTGATTTTGAAAAACGATATAAAAACTGAATCCGAATGCACAAACAAAAAGAGCCAGAACAATGGAAAATCTGAAAAATGTTTTAAGGATCTTTATAAACATCACAACATAAATTCCGAGGTTGAAGTTTGGTATTGCTTCCACGAACAACAATAAAACAATCCAAGAGAGAAAGATATCAATTGTCCCCATTTTCCACTGCCATTCCTAAAATATACAGCGTGAAAACTAAATATTTGTTTGTTATCCACTTAAAAGTTTAAAAAATTTTGCGAATGTTTATGAATAATATTTATAAAGAATGAATATATACATTCTTATTATGCATATATCTCTCCACGTGCGAATTTTCTGAAGTGTCCATCCTCTTATATTGAATGGTTTTGAATTGCAAAAATAGATTTGGAAAAAATTTTCAGACTTAGTAATATTCTGTACCTCTAATATTCCGTACTTTCGCGTGAAAGAAGTAAATGGAAAAACCGTTGCTATCGAAGTACAAAACAAAAATAGTTCAATCCAGTTTGTTGCGTTCTTGAAGTAATCAAGTTTTTCTCCGGGAACTTGGAAAAACTACATAGATAAAACGTGAAAGTGTCAAAAGTATATAATAAATTTTGAAAAATATTCACGTGCTAACATATAATTTGCTTTGGTGCCATCTGTAACAGTTAAACATTGTTTGAATTGATGGACGCAAAGATTGCGCATCGGTACCGGTGACGGCCACGTCATAGTTGAGCCCCGAGTTCGTTGAAAAGACCGACGTACAAGCAGCATCGATAAATCGGGCAAGTGTGGTGGAATAAGGTGTTTCAAAATATGTGAATTTTAAGGAAATACAGTAACAGTTTCCTGCCAGTTCTATCCAAATTTAGTATGGTGGCGAATGTGAATTGTAACTATGGATTATAATGTTGTCTAGCCCCTTTATATTAATGGTATGTTGAATTCTACTTAACAGGTCATTTTATTATCGCGATAGCGACATGCCTTCGTTTTATATTTATAGCCTTCTTTGTAGCGACCAATCTTGATATTTCCGGTTTCGCCGAGTGTTGGAGCGTGTTGTGTTTTTCATGTTTTTGTGGTTTCGCTGCATTAAGGGTTAAGTGTATTTCTGTATTTGGATTGGATTGTAAAACATTACAATATACAAACATTTGGCTTTCAATCTATTGTGTGCTTAGTGACTCCCGAGGAGTTCAGATCGGAGTTATGCTCAATTAAACGTGTGTCAACCTAATAACACATGAGCGAACGAGCAGATAGGGTCAATTCTCTCCCTATAGTACTAAAATCGATTGGTCAATAACAATATTAACAACAACAACAATTCAGTTAAACCATCTCTGAACTTCTCGTTCAATAATGTGAAAAAATAAATCAAGTAGAAAGAGTAATGGATTTTAATGATATCAGTAAAATATTTTGCAGGGAGTGGCATAAGTGGTAAAGTTTGGTCTTACTGAATTTTTAGTATTGAATCAGTTGCAAAGAATATTGTTTCAAATGGCTTGTCTTGTTCGCTCAGTTATTTTTCTTCAGCCAATTATTTTCATAGAATTCATTTAGCTTCATTCACATATATTATGACATAGAAGTATAATTACCTCTTTCAGTAGATTAAGAAAAGCTAGGCAACCTGAAGCGTATCCGACGTACCAAAGACCGCGCTTTGCAACGCAAGAATCACCCCATACACTTTGAGCCTCAGGTACCATCTGTACACACATTTCTCCATTTGAATTTGATGTGATATCTAGTAAACAAAATGTCCATAAACCAAAAATTGATGTAATTCAGTTTTATTTGTGAATAGAACATGTATTTAAGTCAGATTCAAACATATATCTATAAAGATGTGGGAGTATATATACTAAGGCTTCTAAAAATGATTATGTACAACTTACTTATAGCGTAGGGCGGCGGAATTGTCATCATGAAAACATTGAACAAACCCATGAAAGAAATATAGAGCAGAAATGCCAGCCAATAAAAAATTCTCAGGTTTTTGTTTTCCCATTTGTGCTTCAAAATTCTTTTTACAAGTGGATGGTACATCAGTTCACGTCGGTTCGATTTCATTATCAATGTCAGACAGTGATTTTGTATTTCATCTGTCTACAAAGAAAAATTTCACTTTTGAATATGAGAATAAAGATCATATGCTTCATAGTTGAAATGTACAACGAATTTTCTCACACTAAGCTCATTTGGTTAGATATTCACCTGATTCTTATATTCTTTTGTATCATCAAGATTTTCCAAAAAGTTTACCATGTAATGTCTTTGGGGAATCTGTAGCAGTAAGTAGTTTTCATTAAAGATTTTTGCAGGGAGAGAATCGTTGGGTTAATTGTTGGCTGTTAGAATAACGAGATAATTCAATACCCAGTATTGAAGGGTTTATTGGATCTCCGCTCTAGGAGACCCTTATTATCAGTTGTTCTGTCTGTTGGATATCGCTTCTAGGAGACCCTTATTATCAGTCGTTCTGTCAGTCTGTCAGTTTAGATGTAGCATCTTCAGATCCAGCCACCCTAGTATTGTGCGTTTTATGGAAAGTCCGGATGGAGGTTTCGTTTTCATGGAAACAACGAAAAACGCGCCGATCGTTATGAAATTTCAATTTTTTTCACAATTTATCGCCGTTTTCTTGCCAATCAAGTCGAAAATTAAAATTCCAAAAACGCTACCTTCCGCATAGCAGAATACTCTTTCCAATAAGTTACTTTTTGTCTTGATACTTCATAAACTGGAGGAGCCTTAGGGATTTTAGTGAAGATTATTTTTTTAATTTCCAGCCACAATATACCAGTCACGCGAGTAAGACTACGAAAGGCGCAGCGTCCAAATGAACTCAGCGGAACGCGCAGCGTTCAAAATGACTGGCGTTTTTAGTAGTGTCTCCTATTATCCGTTAGTAAACTGAATTGATGCGGGCCTCAAGCAATGGCGGAGATCCAACTGGGCGCCTACCGGCTTGTATTATTATTATCGGACACTAAGTGGCTCTCTTGATCGTTTTGTAATTATTTTGTTGTTGATAATCATGTTGTTTTATTGTGACAAAATCGTTTTTTCATTAACTACGGGATCAATTGCATTTTCAGTAATTTAAGATTGTATTTTTCATTAGAAGGCTTTCATTATTATTATTTTTCAAAACTTCCCGTGAGCTCTGTGGAATTTGTTTTTCCGTCTGAAGTTTCGTGTGGTGATGTCAACAAATTTAAAAATAATTAAAAACTATTTCAAGGTGTTGCGCAATGGCATATTAGCGTAGCTCGTGCTCAGCTAAGGTCGGCAGAACTCGTGACTGGCGAAAGTGGGAAGATTTTTTGTATAGTGGTAGGCTGCATCTGATAATACATATGGTGACTCGGATTAGTTGGTATTTCAATTTACGTTGAATCTGAATCATGAGATTATCGTCACAGAACCTGGAAAACCTAGGACAGTCCAGGTACCGTTACCGGTACCCTGATGCAGATACTGTTAAGCTTCGTTCAGAACACCGTGTGATTTAGGGGACTTGATGGTGAAACATGCCGTTTTAGACTAGGAGAAAAGATCAACAACAACATAATAACAAAATGGTCCATATGTACATTCCGAATCCAATAAATGATAAAAAAATTACTCTAGAATCGCCCTAACTTTTAATGCCTAGTGCAAGACTGACAGTATCCGTACGTTTATTAAGTTCTAAAACGTCATCTCTGTATTGTCCGACCGTCTGAGCTTGCTATGTCTATGCGTTTAGATTACAACATTGCTTCAAATCGTTATTCAACTACTCGATGTGTAACTATAATTTAATACAGAAAACATATGTTAAACACTATAGTTGAAAATAAAGCATTCTGATACAAGTTTTGGAAGAAGATCACAAGACTACGACATCAAGCGCTATTTCCGAACTACGTCGATTTTTATTGAATCTATTTTTTTAAAATTCATCAGTATAAAACTAAGTCGACTATTACTAAGAATTACAATTTTCAGTGGCGGCGCTGTAAGTTCTCCCATCATTTTATGAGTATAAAAACCATTCCATCGGTAACAACCAATCGGCAAAAGCGACAATTTTTAACGATAAGAAAGTGTCTTTATAACCGGTCCAAGTCAAGGGATTAATAAATATAGACATAGTTTATTTTGAAACCTCTTGCAAAAGGAAAGGCAATATTTACCCAGATAAATACAATGACATATTAACAGAAACTTCGGGAAAGCAGACAAAACCTAAAATAAGGTTTAAAACGTTACTATGAAGAAAGGAAAGTAATGCAAAGATAAGGACATGCGTCGCTCACTCATAGATATATATGCTGCTAGACTTCTACTGCTTGAACATATCTGCAACACGCCGCGGTTTCTTGGAAGCAAAATGCTCGATAACGCGCTGATTAAAGTCATGCATCCCAGAAATAACGTCTCTGTGAATGGATAAAACAGCCAAGGAATTTAATCTATCTTGCTTCATTGTGTTTCTGAGATACGTTTTAATACGCTTCAGCGTGCTGAATGTTCGCTCTGCGTCGACGGAAGAAATAGGCGTCGTCAAAATGATGTTCAAAAAAGTTTGATTGGTGTATATACATCGCAATTCATTTTCCAATTTACCCACGTTTATCATGGGGTAAAATTTGGAGACAGTAGCCAACAAATGGATGGGAAATTGACGTGCAAATTTTGAAAAAATTTTGGGGTTTATCAAAGAGAACGCGGCAAGGTGTTCAGTGCGCAGACGATCGCCTATTTGATTCATCAGAATGTCACAGCATTCCTTTGCAGACAAAATCAAACGCTGCGTTGTTTGCCCGCGGCGTAAAGAAGCACTCCATGGGTCGTCGTATTTTATTGTTTCCCGGATACGAGATACAGCATCGCAGAAGTCTGAAATACACGACTGCGCATACGCTCCATCCATTAGCCTTGACTGCAATGCGCCGTATAATACATCCACATGATAGAATATTGTGGAGAAAAAATGAAAACTCACCATCTTCTAGCAGACGCTTTTGACCTGCCGCCTCCTTCACAGAGCGTTCGTCCTAAACCGGAGAGCTCTGAATGCCATTGAAACACTCAATGAGCTCAGACCTAATTTTGGACACGCCCTGCACCACGCGTGATTGGAAGTTCCAACGTGTTGGTGCACAAGCTGGGACACGGCGGCTACATATCTGGCGAAAGAGGTCAGAGCGCTTCGGCGAAACACAAAAAAAAGAAGAAAACCCCGAAACATTTGCAAAAAATATACGGACGAGAGGGGTATCAAGACACATATTTTTAATAACGAGGTTAAATTGGTGTGCATAACAATGTAAAAAATGCGCATGAGGAAAATCTTTTTTTATATAAATTTGAACACCATGTTTCGACCCACTCATGACTGCCGCGCCGTCATAAGTTTGAGCTATCAATTTTGACTTCGCGTTGTAAGGCTGTAACACTTCTTTCAGTACAGCCGTTATCCCGCAAGCCGTGCGATCAACGATTGGTACAAAGCTGTGAAATCTCTCGGTAGGTTTACCATCTTTCACAAACCGAAAAATCACAGCCAGTTGGTAAACGCACGTGATGTCATTGGTCTCGTCAGACTGAATCGAAAGGAACTGGCAATTCTCAATTTCCAGAGCCAAATGTTGTAAATAAATTTTATACATTGAGTCGAGCAAATCATTTTGGATATCCTTAGATGTCCCTTTCGAAACAGTTGCGGCATCAAGATGATCTCTCAATACTGTATCTGGGGATGCGGTGTATTCCACGATATCCAAAAATACCTCTCTATTAGAAGAGCCAGCGCGTTCATCTTGCCCACGGAGGGACAGCTCGTGACAACCAATGAACTTCAAAACATCTATCAATCGACCGAGAACATGGCGGTTTTTCTCGACGATTTGGTTGTGCCGACGAAAGAAACCGCGCGTCCTTCATCCTTCATCCCTGGCACGCTCGGAAAGATGTTTAAGATCTCTAAAACCAAATCACACCAACGTGAGTCACGGGCGGTAGCAAAAGTAGGCAATAAAAACAAAAAGTGCATTTTTGTCCTGCTGTAACACAACCATTCGTGTTTTTTATACCAAAGTTTTCTGCGCAGAATGTACGCCGACGCTTTCCTCCGTCATGGGATTGTTCCCAGTGAACAATTTTTTGGTTGATAATGCCCAAGACGTTGTACCTCTAATTTTGTTCCAGCGGCAGCTGCGAAAACGGAGTGCGAAGTAGTGCATCAACCTTATTCATTATGAGGTCTAAGGCTAAGAAATGCGAAGCCGGAAACGAAGTGAGGAGCTCAAAAGGAATGTGGAAAATCGAAAACAAATGTACTAAAGGTCTCTAACTGATTCAAATAGCGAAACAAGCGATAAAAACAAAGGCGAGGAAACTATCAACTCTTCAAGCAACCAAACGAACGAGAAGGAATGCGTGAAATATGTCAACTACGTTGTTGTAAGTAACGTCGGCATTGTGTCGTCATAATTTCGGGGCTAGCCCGATCGGCCCCGATGATTTAGTAAAAGAAACAGAAAACAAACGAGACATACGGGGCGAGTGGCAAGATAATAGAGAGAATACGATATACAATGAGCAACCGGGGCAAAATCGGCGTCGCCCCGTCGACGTTCGGCGAAGGCTTTGCGAGCGAAAAATGAACCATGTCGGGAGAATATGGCTAGTGTAGACAGTCTGTGCAACCGATATTGAGGTATTTTTCGAATATTTTTATTATACCGAAAAAACAACCGGGCATTGGCCCTATTGACGCGCCGCCACTAAACAATTTTTCATATGCGATTTAGTATTATTGTCTACGAAATTGGCCTATAGATTGTCACAATATTATACAGTTGTTAGAATTTTTTGTCAGGTTTCGCGTACATTCTTGTTCATATTTTTGTTGTTATGTAAAAATCCCGCTAACTACCGTACTGGATTGTTTGAAAATTTCTGTGAAATAAAAATTGTTGTCGCTAGAGGGCTATTACTTTCATGTGCTCCTTATTCTAAATGTTTTATGAATCCTATGAGATCTGATATTTTATCCAAAATTTCGCTGTAATATATTTTTATTAACGGAAACACGCTTTTCACTCCGCCAAGCATGACGGCTGTCTCGCGTTTTCATTTTACCAAATCTCGCGACGTGAAAGACGGATGTTTTCGATATCAGTGACACACTGTAGGTAAGTGCAGTACGAAAAGTTACTGTAAAATGTGAGATACTGTTAAAGATTTAATACTACAGTTGTGAGTCGAATCATTTAGCATTTTAATTCACGTTGGCAGAAGACGCATGAATCAATATTGTCATAGACTCTGGTAAAGCTAGGGCAGTCCGGGTACCGGTACTGATAGTCACGGTGGTCCACAGTTTCAGCTCCGTCTAGACTCTAGTATATGGTTTCTGGGAAAATTGGGTGAAAATATTTCGATTTTGGCTTCGTGTCCAAATATTTGAGCTTTGCTCTCTCGTTGAAAATTACGTGATGCATTTGTTAAATGTGAATCTCTATATTGACTGAGATATTGAATAACCCTCCCTTCATATACTTCATGCCCTTCATCTTAGTGGCAAAATTTTATTTGTATCATCCTTCTTCGTAAAAAATTGGCAACTCAATTTTCTTCAAAGTAGAACTATTAACGATTGTAGCCGATATGCTTGCGCCAGCATAAACCATGACACATAAAAGGGATGAGCAATTTTGAGAGTTGAGTCAAATAATTGATATTCAATTCTTTATTGCGAAACTGCGAAAGAATCATCAAATAGTTAACTGAAAAACAGTCAGTTTTCCAAAATTTTATAAATAATCAATCTTTTTAACTGATTGATTTCACTTTTTCCAATATGTGTCGTTTTAATCCACTTATTATCTTGCTATTGGAATATTGAATCTTACATTTTTTACCATAGAAAATCAATCGATGTAATAACTTCATTACCTTTTTTTCAACATTTTCACCATTCTTCTTGACTAATTTTGTAGCTGAAAACAAGTATAAAAGTTTTATAAAAAACTGAATAATCGAAGTAATGAGTTCAACCTTTCTATGTGTGCTAAAATAGTATCTAAGCCTTATAGCTAACTCAAGAGTATAAAACCCCTTTTTCGTCCATAAAAGAATGAAAATGGTTATTAAAAATTCATTTGCCTGCTGAATTGTAAAAATAAGAAATATGGAATATTTGTCGATGATTTGAGTTTTTTATGACGTAGGTTACCCGGTGCCGGTCCGCGAAAAATTACGTTGTTTTTATTCCGTCTCAATCGCTTTACCGAAGACGAGGTTGCGTTGGTTTATTACGCAATTTCTCTTCCACCGTCATATTGCGACGTATTTCGCGACATCTTGGCGCTGAGTAATCACACTTTTCGCTTTTCTGGCTCTGATTCACCGCGAATGCGCTCCGATCGCTTTACCGAAGACGAGGACGGGTTGGTTATTTACGCAATTTTTCTCCCGCCGTTATATTGCGACATCTTGGCGCCGAATAATTCCACGTTTTGCTTTTTCGGCTCCGATTCATCGCGAATGCACTCCATCAAATCTGGCAAAATCTAAAAATCGGCACGCGTGCCTTTTCTGTTCTGCGTCATATTCCTGATTATTATGACCGTCTATAATTCTATATCTATATAAAACGTTATTCATATTTTATTTTTCAAAACCAGAAAACAGTCAAGAGCAGTATAATATTCCAGTAAGATATGAACTTGTTGCGACCCTGCAGGTGGTCACGAGACGCGCATGGGCCGCAGAAATCTTTTCCAATATTTTGAGCGAACATTGACATAGAAAGATTTTGATCCTGGTGCCAACTTGCCAAGTCACCGACGACTTTGTCATTGTAATGTAAATTCATTTCGTTTGAGGCGTCGATCAACTGCAGAGGGACGAATATAATGAACCCGACGAAAAAGAAAAATCCTAATTAAAATTCTGATTCTACTTTACAGTCCATATTTAAGAACAATTTTAGGTATTTCTTAATGACGAATACCCATCGCTAAGTAATCAAGCAATCAAACTGTTGTCCGTATTTTCTATCAGTTTCTGCGTTATGAAAGAAATCGGCTGCACGTTTCTGCAGCTACGTGTTGCAGAAACTTCTTTGAGGCCTCGTTTGCAATCCTATATTGGAAACGAAACAGCAGCAAAATTCTTACTAGAGTTTATTGTGTTTATCAATTATTTGGCATGTACAGGTTTTTTATGTGAGATGTTTTATGCGTGTCTTTCTTACGCATAATGGATGGTACTGCATGCATGGTACTGTATTACTGTATTTTATTACGAAAATAGATGGTATTACATTATGTTTCACGGTTCCCCCCTTCTCAATTTTTGGCCGGCACATCATTTCATAGTTTTTCCATGTGTGGAATGTTTTTAAGTGTGCCTTTTTTGTCTAGAAGCATATTGAGTGCCCGACATTGCATTATATTATCTGTTCCGGTCATTTCAATTTTTTTCCGGTCCGCGAGTACATTTAATTTAATTTTACCGGTCCGCCAGGATAGAAAGGTTGGGAACCACTGGGTTAGACTATTGTTTTTGAATAATTTTCAAAACCCCAGCAGACGTTTATTAATGATACCATTAACTTGATATTTGACATAAATAAGTAACATTTTTATTTACAGCTGAAGAAATGCTGTATCTTGAATAACAGACATATTACCTTCGGTAATGCATTTGTCCATAACCTTTTCAGCAACTTCTGGTAAATTTCTTATAAGCCTGCGCATTGGAGTTTGTCGATTTTTTCCATCTTCTGATCTGCATACTAGGCAAAATATATCGCCATTATTTGGAACCCTACTTTTTTTTTGCCGACTCCGATTCCCATTTGTTATGGTTTGAGCGGAAATTATGTTATTTTTTCCAATGGGACTAATTTATCAACATATCCTGTTCTCTTAAAATTCAGCTGGGCTGCTACTCGTGATCAGAATGAATTAGTAGCAAAAATTGTTTATTGTGGAAAGTATTGAAATATTTCATTGCCTTATGTTAGAAATTCTGAATATAGCTTTACAGAATTTCTATAAAATAAATTCAATATATATTTATGAATGTATGAGAAATATCACATTTAGCATGCATAATAGTATATATAATATTCAAGAAGATGAATTAAAATCTGATAAGTTTTCACGTTTTGCTGCGTTCAAAGCTTCCTTCCAGTCATCTGTTTCAATGATATACATAGCACAATCGTGACTATAGTTCTCCGCAGCAACATCCAATGCGTTTTTATATTTTTTATCATCCAAATCTTCAGCCTTTGCCCCATTACTAAAAATCAATCATTTAAAGTGTGACGATTGAATGACTAGTTGACTACAAGATTTACAATTCTACAAAACCCTAGAAATTTACCAAATGTATTCAGTTTTTTGAAAACTATAGTAAACTACTGGATGGCAGCCAAATGTTTAAAAAAATTGTATCAAATAATATATGAAAGTTCGTGAACTATAAGAGCCAGCCAAATATGAAAATATAACATAAAGTTTTTTTAGGAATGGAAATAAAATTCAAAAAGGGGAGATATTTGATTCAGTAGTACAATCACACACAAAACTTTGAATTTAATTGTCATAAATTTAAGATGCTAACCGTAAATAAAACTAATACTGAAATATAAGTATACCTACTTGAGTAACAACTTGACCATATCAACATGATTCTCTTCACAAGCTTTGTGTAAAGGCTTCCATTCCCGATTCTGGTCCGATTTTATCATGGCGCCGGCATTGATTAAAATTTCAGCACCTTTCTGTCTACCATTTGCTGCGCAACAATCTAAGGGCGTCAGGTCATCTTTGTTTCTAAATAGAAAATTATACTAATTGATCAACATTATTCAAAACTGCAAGATGAATTAAATGTGGTAATAGCATACATCAGTAATTTATTTTTTCACCATTCCAAAGCCCACAATCTGAATACACAATACAAGAAATAGGAAATATGGTACTTTAGGGTGAAGGGAGGCGCGAGACACCAAGACTGGTGATCGAGCAGCGACACCCATGACAAGTCTAACAGTAATAGATAAATAACAGTAATATATAAATCAAACAAACAATAAATATTAGAACAGGTTTACGTTAAAGTAAGTCGAGGCGACCCGCATACCCAAAAGACACCCGATCCAAGGAGAAACGGATAACGACTCCGAGCACCGTCTTGTGAGTAACCATGGCAACGTCAGCGAAATCTTATACTGCGGAATACAGACACTGCCTGAGTTGAGCTTGAATTCATATTTATCCCGCGAGGGGAAGCCGATAACTTGGCATATTTATATTATTATAAAATAGTTTTGTTTGTCGCAGTTAGGGATACGAGAGTGTGTAAACAAGTGGAAGTATAGTGGCAAGGTGCTTTGGTGCCGGAGACGTCGTGTGAAGAGGGAAAAGCCTAAGGACCCAACCTGACGTTAACAGGTTAAAAATAATGAAATTTAATTGGCGATTGAAAATAATCGACAAAATAAATAAATGTGGAAGTAAATAGTATTGCTAGTTAGACAAAATATGTACATAAAGAAACTAGTATATTAGAAAATTTTAGTCCATCATTGAAAACATGAATGCAGTAAACACTGTACGGTATCGGTACCCAAGCAAACAGCATATGGAAAAGACATCAATTTAGTAAGTTGCAATATCATTGAAATTTTGAAATTGGTGAGTATACTGGCACTTGACAAAGACATAAAGCAGGGGTCGGGAACCCATGGCTCGCGAGCCATATATGGCTCTTTGGTGACGGCATATGGCTCCCAGAAAAATCTAATATTCTAAGACTAAGCTTAGGCTTACTATTGTTACGAGATTTCAAAACACCTTTATAGCCAATTTTGGCAGGAAATTCCCCAATACGTTTGAGAACGCGCGCCCAGCACATGTCTATGTTATGTAAGATAATCACCAGACAGGCATTGTGACAACAAGGGAGTCTGGAACATATATTGTGACATCACAAAGCGATATAGTTTTAAAAACACTACGGAGATGCCTAAACGAAAAAGGGTGATGAGTATTGTAGATTTCAACTTGGGCTGCATGTGAGCAACCGTTCAAGGCCCGCAGCGACTACATGCAGCATCAGAAATCACAATAAATGTATATTGACATTGTATGTGTTGACTTTTGAGTAAACATTTCAGGCCTGATTAAGTGAAGAAATGTTATATGGCTCGCACGGAAATGCAATTGAAAATATGTATATTTTATGGCTCTCTTGACCAAAAAGGTTCCCGACCCCTGACATAAAGGATAGCTAAGTATTTGTACACAATCTGAGACCAAAATTATGAATCATGGGTGAAGTGACCCACCGGTATACCGGTATGGTTTGGATCCAAGATAACCCGTCTGAGCCTGATATTGGCAAGATGAATAGTTTGGTTATTATATGAGTGGCACATGGCTATGCACTGACACGGTGGGGGAAATAACAAGTTCAATATTTACCAAGTCTCTATCTATTTCAGTTACTGTGGGTGAAGTCAAGTGTTGAGCTGACAATGACAAGGGGGGGAGGGGGTCATCACATCAAACAGATGTTGTGACCCGAGACAGGTAAGATGAAAGCATGACCTTCTTATATTTTATTTTAAAAGAGAGATATGTGCTTTCACGTAAACCTTACCTTAGAGATTCTTCTTAAATTCACCAAATGCAATATGTTCAGGCCGAACATTTTTTGCCTTTTATTGATTGACTTGAAAAATATTGTTGTAATTATAAATAATAAACAACATTATCTGCGGCAAGCAACCAATTTGATATAAACAAATTTGATATTTTGTTTCATAATACATTGTTAACTTAACATAAAAAACATTTCAAGTGTATTCGGGCAATGTACATACTCACTTGGCATAAAAATTGGCCCCCGACTCCAAAAGCAGTCGCACACAAGTGGCTCTTTCCTCCAAGGCCGCCAAATGAAGTGCTGTGTTTCGATTTTATCAGTGTCATAAGCTAATCCGTTATCTAAATCTTAAAAGGTATTTCAGAATCTTCACGTGTCCGTTGATGACAGCCAAGTGTAGCGGTGTCCTGAAATCTTTATTTTTAGGCTTTTTGCAGAGCCGAGTTGCTCCAAGAGAAACTTAAGATAAGAGCTAAAGGTTAAGAGTGCTTTGGAAAAAACACCAGCGGTAATGGGCTGCTTTATTAAATAAACACTGTTTATGCAACTTAAAATGTCAAGTGCCAAATAATGGTATTTGTTGAGATATTAAATTGAAAATGATGATACATCAAAACAGGGGTGTGCAACCTTTATTACAGGTGGTGGGTTGCATACAAATAACTGGGCGAAAGCGAGGCCGTACATTGCCAATTGGCTCTGCTGAAATCTTTCCAAGTGAAAAGTGGCCGCGAAAACGCTTACTGTTGCGTCACTATTGCATCTTGTAGGTTAGTCAACGCTACGCAAATAAACACGGGGGAATCCATTCGACTAACTCATAGACTTCCGCATTTTAATTTCACGTCAACAATTAGTTTTCAATTAAAAACTTTTTTGAAAGTAACTAACTTTTAAAGCATTAACGAGACCCGCAGGAAAGGTTGTTGAGAGCCGCGTGTGCCTAAGCATGCATAATTCACTCCTGGAGCGTAAATTATAAAATTAATTCATCGTCAAAACCGCCGTTTTGTCGCTATAATTCAGTGACTGACAGTGGACTGTATTTTGCCAACCCCTGGGCTACGCGAACTACCTTTTGGCGGGGAAGAGTCCAGCAATCCACTCGCGTGTGATTATCGCCCACGGGATTCAAACCTGCGAACGTACAGTAATTGAGTGCACAATGCGCCTGCCGCCGAACAAAAACAGGTTTCGCGAAATCGCCCCTCTATCGACTGATGCGCTCAAACCAAAACTCATTTAGCTTCTGAATCTCCCAATGATAAAATTCTTCAAACTGCTCCCTAATTGCTCAACCTGCAATTGTACCTTCATACAAATTTATTAGGTTCTGTTCTTCACTTTCTTTCAGGTGCTCGCTGCATAGAGAGTGACTAATGATATGCAGGTATGAACGATAAATTGCGACGCAAAAGGGATTATGGACTTGCTACCAGATTAAACTAAATTGGGACATCGTTTCGCGGGCCGCACACCATTCAAAATTGGCACTTCTCCGATGGCCCCATCTTTTTCCTTGAGGGAATGCAGCTGACAGTTTTGCACAACCCTGCATTAAAATATTTAATTAATGAACTAAAATGATTTTTTTTTTAAGAATTTTGTATAATCACGAGATGGATATATGCACACGCGGATGGAACCGACAAATTTTGCTTGGACGGTTTCACAAACTCAAAAATATTTTATAAAATGAAGAGATTTATATCTACCACCATACTGATAGGATCTGTCATTGGGGTAAACATATAGATCTTAACGTGTCAGCAATTTGTTGCTCTTTACGAGTACCCTTCCTCTTTTTAGTTGCATGGTAGAGGCTTCCTGCTGGGCCCTACTACCGTAGACAATCTCTATGCTATATATGATCTCACCTTTGCAAATGTGAAATAACCTTTCATTGCTGCAATGTGAAGTGGAGTGTTTCCGTTCTTATCCGGAATATTCACCATGTCAATGAGCTCATTTTTCTTTCCACTTTCTTCTATCATCTGATCAAACATGTTGAAAAATTATCATTTTTTACGTATTGGCCATAGAACATCAATTTGCATAACATGAAAGTGAATATACCTTTTCTAAAACTGTCAATTGGTTTTTTGTTGCACACACATGGATAATAGTACTGCTATCTTTTGCTTGTACATTTATATCATCTTTTTCCTTCAGCAAATATGTAACTATGTGAGATTTTCCATACTTTGCCGACGTCAACAAAGCTGTGTAACCTTTACAGGTTTCAATTGTTTTATCCGCACTGCTAAATATATTTAAAAATAATATATTATTCACAACATCAACGATGATTATACAATTAGGCATACAAGATATTCCAAACAACATTGTACACCCCTCACTCTGAAATTTGAAATAAATATAAAATATTTTTCACTAGATATATCAATTTACATAAGATCAAAAATAATCCTTGAAATTCACAGAAATATAAATTCTAAAGTATCATACTTATGAATAAGATACTCCACAATATTCTCGTGTCCATATTTTGCAGCTGTAATCAGTGGTGTTGCTCCACTTTCCCAGGTTTCATCTATTGCAGCACCTTCATCCACCAAAGCCTCAACTATTTCAATTTCGCCAACGATACATGCCAGATGTAATGGAGTCATTTTATTGCCTTTTTTCGCATTTATTTTTTTGTTTTTATCCGCCGCCATTCTATCATCTACCAAATTAAATATATATATATATATTTCGACGAGGAGTCTAGTAGCAATACAAATATATCTGTAAAATCCCTTCGGCCATTTACAGAGAAATGTTTGGTGTTACGGTCATATCATATTTCTTCTTTACCGACTTTTCACAAAACTATTCACTGCGTATTTCACCGATATGAAACTACTTGCTATAAGACGTAAGATTTTGGTGTTGTAAGATTTGATGCTATCATCTCATTTATATTATAAATAACACATAATATGCTATATTTATTAAAGGTGATACGTCAAATAATAATAAAACATTTAATATTTTTTGTGTTTGATAAAGAGCCTATTTGTTCTGGTCATCCTATCATTTTTTACTTCTACCCTCTTTAAAAAATTTGTAGGTAAAAGATTCAACATGACCATACAGCTAACTAACTTATTCCTGTCAACTTACATTCCCCACATTTTTCTGCTAAAAGGCGCACAATTTCTTTGTGCTTCCCATATACCGCTAGATGTAGAGGAGTTGCTCCATTTATGTCTTCCCCTTACTAATAAACCATCCTGACGAGCGTAATATAGTATTTTTTCTACGACCTACAAAAAATGTGATTATTACATCGCAAAATATCTAAAATGTTACTTAAATCTAGAAGTAAATGCCAAAAATTAAAATAGAAAGAATTTCAATTGGAATGATTTCAAGCAGTCTGAGATGTTGTCATTTTAGATTGCATTGCACAGCCCATAAAATGTGCACGCATTCTTATATTTGGCAAGGGTTGAAAAACACGCCCTTACTGACGCAACAGGTGTTTTGTGCTGATAAACTGATTTGATAAAATAAATCTCGATGCATTTCAAATAAGTTAAATTTTAAGGTATTATTCAAATGTAATACCCATTTAAAAAAAAACAGTAATTGAGTTGAATTTCTACCTCGTAATGACCTTCGGCAGCAGCCATGTGCAAGGGCGTCTGCATCCATACGTTCATTTCTGATATATCTTTCGGGTTTGATATCAGCAATTTTTCTGCTACCTCGACTTTTCCACATACTGATGCGATATGCAAAGGTGTATTTCCTTGGTCATCTTTCGCCTATACAACAAAGCGCAAGAAATATCATATAAATGAATATTATTTAAATGCATTTCGTTACTTGTTTTGATAGTTTCAATAGGTTATCAACACTATTACTTATAAGCCATCGTTGCACTTCTGGTAAACGAATCATACTTTCGATATCTATCAAGTACTTTAACTATAAACAAATGTTATATTTATTTTGAAAGTATATTTATATATATATATATTCGGAATGCTCTACTCTCGGGCATAATTTAGTTTTTGTCATTCACATTAATTGTTTCATGACAACATTTATAATAGAAACTTGTGTGAAGTAGCCTAGTTATAATATATATATATATATATACATATATAGGCCTATATACCACTGACTTCTAAGGACGGGATCAAATAGAACAACAACTTTACAGATTTACTTTTATGACCACGGGTCTTCAGAGATAAAAACAACCAAGGAGCAATATGTACTGCATATTATTGATAGATCTTCAATTATTCTGAATTAAAATAATTTCTGAAAAAGGAGCTCTGTAAAACGTCAGTTTCTCTGAAAATGCGTAGCAGGAAACAGATGAATCAAATTCAGTAATAAGTTGAATACCTTGAAGTTATAATCATTTATTTCAAGTTCAACTGTTTTAAGATCTCCTTTCATGCTTGCCTTGTACAAACGCGTAATATGGTATTTTTTCATATCAGTAGTGTTTCCTGGGTTTTCCCTGAAACATAATTAAGAGAAATATATATCCGTAAAAAAATATTCGAAACTCAGAAAATAATAGCTAATACCGATTGCGCTCAAAGGTTCTCTTAGTCACAGGGGAAGGATCTACTGGACTCTAGAGAGGTGTAACGAGTTCTATCGATAGAAAGATTCAAGCCTAACAAAGCCTGCAACACAGAACCGAAACATCATTTATATACGAAGAACTAGACCAAGGGTCGACAAATTGCGGCCCTCGAACGTCTCGACTTGATGCACAATACAAAATTTGAATATAATTATTATTATCTAGACACGAATGTACGGTGTAACAAGTGCTGCTGTACGGCGTCATTTTGTAGTAAGTAGCGTCAGTTGTACGTCGTTTACTTCGTGTTGGTTGTAATTATAAGTCAAGTTCATTTTGAATTTTAAAAATATAAAAACGTCAGGTGCGATGAGGGTCGTGCTTAGACAGAAAATGTTTTTTTTCTTTTGCACATTTCAAAATTTGCAAGTCAGCATCGCAGTTATTAAGGGATTCAATTTTAAACGTCGTTACGAAACGTGTAATTGCAAATACGAAACTCGACCCCAAGACCAGAGGCTGCGCCGCCGCTCATCTGTGCGACAGTGCAAAACGTGTTATGTGCTCTCTCGGAAGCTCATATTGCTGTGAGCAGCTTCATCTAAAATGAATTACCGTAAGAATAAGTTTGGTACTCGCTTGTCACATCGTCATTTATTTGGACGACGTACTGCGGAGGAACTAAGTTGCCATTTGATTTCAACACGTTGGCCATGACAACGAAAAAACATCATCCTGAACATTGATGATAAGTGAATTAAAACAATGTATTGCTTGATAATATATATTTTAAATAAGGCCACATACACGTATCACTGTGGCAAAGATTAGAGTGCGCCATAACTTGAACTTCAATGTGACGATTGTTCGCAGGCGGAAATTATTGCGACCCGCTCGCTACCGTCAATGTGTATATTTGGCCCGCAAGTACAATAAGTTTGCCGACCACTGAACTAGACTATATGAATTCAAAATAAATCTGATAAAAAAAATTACCGTAAAGTTTATGACAACATTTATAACCTAATTCGCATAATGGCCTGTCAAAGAAATATGATATGAATGAGGATTTTGATTTCCTTAAACTGGTCACACGCTAAGATTTATGACATTGAAAATACTTTAGTGGACTATACTCACTGCATCGGAATTTCGTGTTGGTACGATCTGTTTTCGTGATCACTTCTATGGGGTCGATTGTTCCTAGACTGCTGCATCTTCAAACCTAAAAACTTGTGCTAGAATCTAGTACTCTAAGGCTAACCGAAACATTTGAAGTTATTTTCAATGCTTATATCACATTCAATATTTACTAATGCTCCACTTTGCGTTGACAAAGAATGCATAGTTAATTATTAGACAGTAGTAAATGTTAACATGAATGATAACACTTATCCTCCGAATGATTGGGCGGTTGTACAGTTGCTGTGTATATTAACTATAATATAGCACAATGGTTTTCACGCGTTTTCAAAAAGTTCCTCCTTTTGCTTATTTTGGATCTCTTAAATGTCCACCAATACACATTATATTAATAAATAATATCTGTACAATATTTATGAAACTGCACCAAATACATAGTCATATTTCCTCCACAAGAACATCGAAATTCCGTCCTGGTTAGGGATTCGCTCGTGAATTGGAAACGTTGGTTAACATAATTTTTTTCTAATCTGAAATTACTCGTTATCACTCGTTCAAATATTCATGCCGCGCCTGTCTCATGCGGAGCCAAAATAGGAGGTAAACAAAACCCAAGGACTTGTGTAGTTCATTACTTATTATTACTGCCGCCCACCGTGCTATTCATTGACTTGAAGTATGTTGAATTTACGTAACATTCGTGTTCGTGCACTCTTGGTTGTGAACGTCTTCCAACTAGCCACTCTCTTAGTTTCACACAATCGAAAATTAGAAGTGTATGGTCGAAAGCGGGTAACATAAAAATCTAATTACATATAAAATATTATATAATTTTTGACAGAATCTGTTAATATAGAACAGAGGTGGCCAACGCGGCGATTGCCACGTCTCGAGTAGTCGATCGCGTCTGATGTTGAGTATATTTACTAACATACCCCCAAAAATTACATTGAATTAGTGTTATGCACCGCCTGTTATGTGTTTTAAAACAGTAAGAATTTAGTACTTTACATGCTCGAAATACCATATAGACATTGCCTTCACACGGTACTTAAGTCCGGGGAACCCGATAGAGTGTATTATTACGTAACAAATGCAAGTTTGGCCGAGCTATCTTGAAGATTTTAGTCGATTGCGGTCAAAAGCAGGTTTGCCACCCCTGATATAGTTAAAACGAGATAATTTGAAAATTAGATAAAAAGAAATTACTGGCTACAATCTTTCAATGATATTCGTTGAAAAAACACTTTCTTGATGTTCGAGAGCAGAGAAATGAATAATCTCATTGACAACATCAGTATTAGTTTTGATTGCTTCTTGGTAGTAATGGCAAAATAATCATCAATTCCCTATTTTGAGAGATTTTAACACAAGTTTTCGATATGGGATGTTCACTGATAATATGATAAGCAAAGTAATGTGCATTACCCGTCTGTAGCAACGTTTTCTAACAGAAGAAAAAATTCCTCCTTGTGGAATAATTACAAACTACTTAAAAACGCAGGAGTGCGATTCGCACTTAACATTATATATTGATCCATTAAAGATTAAAAACAAAGTACTTTTAAAGCATATAGGATTGAATAAAGGGTTCTAAAAAAGTGCATGGAGGAATTTAACGAAAAGGTTTGGAAACCACTGGTCTAGAAAAAGTATGGAGAAATTTTGCATGCACTTGAAACTTGAAAGCCCGATTGTGCTTCTGAAGCAAATTACAGGTACCAATTTATCTGAAACAAATTCTTAAATTAGATGTAGATCAATATTTTTAAGGTAAATTTAAATTCTATAAAAAATTGATATAACGACAGCAATTATGGTTTATTTGACATTCATACGAATTTCGGTTTATGGAGAATTATTTAAGGCAGGGTGGTCCAAGGTTGTGAGGTTGGCGGGCCGCAAAAACTTTTGAGTTGGTCTCGTGGGCCGCAGTCGGAGAAAACCTAAAAGTGATTACAACATTGCAAGTTTACTCACTTTAAATATTTATCGTTCTAATCAGTTTTTCAAGGAAACTATATAAAACCCTTTAGTTATTTAAAAATTGCTTCCCGAAAAATATCGTGGTATTTGTGATATCTTTTCCCGTGTTTGGTTTTGTAATGTCGCTTAAAATTATATTCTTTTGTGACAGATGTTAGTTGAAATCACACCAAACACTGTAGTTTGTTTGACGTTGTTGTGGATAAGGAAATGCGTTTACTATCAGTTTACTTCGGTCACCTTTTTATGCACTCATCAATTGTATGTTGAATTTATTACTTGTAGCGCGAGTAGGCCTAGTGAAGAATTTTCCAAGGAGCATACAATCGGGACTTGGAGGAAATTGCAAATCAGACACTGAACGTTGAGCAGTCACTATTACAATTTAAAAATATTATTTTCCACTGTTTACGTAAAAATACATGAATACTTGGCCAGGTTTTTTGAGGAATTTTCAACACTTACGAATAAAAATTAGGCCGGCTTCAGATCTGAATTGTATGATTCGAATAATTCTTAAATTTATGATGAAACATTCACTCCGGATACAATTACATATTCAAATTAACAAATTGAATGGAACATAAAAATGCAAATTTGTGTGGCGGTTTCATCAAGAATTCGCCCACAGAACCTATAGTGGCAGCAGTGAAATTGTTTATATGCGTGTGTCCAGTCATCGGCATGTTCATTACTCATCCGTTTTGTGTATGACATTATTTATTAGTCGATCGCGAGCTATTTTGAAGATTTCAGTCGATCGCGGTCGAAACCAGGTTGGCGACCCCTGTCTTATAGCCACCGCCTTGACGTTTAAGATAGATGCGTTGTTCCCGAAGTATGTGCAGAAAAAATGCCGCACAACCTGAACATAGTATTGTATCAGGTTAGGGTTATCAGGTTGTGCGTCATCTTGTTGCCTAATAATAAATATGCAATAATAGTGCAATAATAAAATGCCATTTTACCCAAATGCCCAATGTCTGCCAATGGTTTAGTAGTGTAAGCTAAAATTGTTCCGCGGGCCGCAATTTGGACCACCCTGATTTAAGACATTACAAAGTTTACTGAACTATTTTTGAGTCAGTTTATATGTATGACCTCTGTGATAGCTCTACCTAAAATGAGTATGCCAATTTATGGGGTTCTGGAGTGTTGTGTTTTTGCCCATAAAAATATCATTCTGAGCTCATTTTTGAAGGCAGAATTGTTAAATACAAAGAATGTTAAATATTGTGCATGTACAAGAACAGAATGATCTATCGATTCCATATTACTTGCGCAATGCATAGGATAATGGTTTATATATATTGATAATTGAAAAACTATATCTAACTGTCATTGAAAAACTGAACATATCGTACATATCATCTCACTTGTTGTGACTCATCAGTGCTAAAAATGTTCCCAGAACTGAAATAAATTTTGACAATAAGGAGCGTATAGGCAATTACGCTCCTTATTGGCAAAATTTCTTTCCGTTCTGAGAAAATGTGACTTCACTAAGTTCCACTTATTTGAAAGTGGTCAATTTTTGAATGACATTAAAATGCCTTTTATTTTTACAAACTTCACATGAAGAAAATTGCTTGTTGTTGTTCTAACATCGTATCGTTGCAGACTCTTAAAGTTTGTACATCGACTCCAATATTTGCACAGATACTCACATGTATACATAACTTGGAATTTCCGATTGATGACCAGGTAAACATGTTAAACTGTGAGTATAAATGCGTGGGCCATGGATAAATTTTCTTTTGATTAAGCTGCTTTGCGCATTGCTGAATACTTACTTACCTCAAGAAATATTTTTACTGACACATTTTGCTATTATACTTTGCAGGTGATCTCGAGGTGATGATTAAAGTATATTTCGAAGAGCAAATGTGTATAGTCGGAATAAGGCCCATAAGCATGATTACACACGCATACACACAAAGTCATAGTTTGGGACAGAAGTAAACTATACCCTCTGTATTGACCAAATACCTACTGCGTTTTCGGCTTTCGTGTAATTTCTTTCCGATAAAATTTCTATTGCCTGCTATTACTGAGGTAACTTTTTCCCATTGTGGAAAAAGTATCATTATCGTTATTTGGCGCGTAATGACGACGTACAGCTAAGCCAGGATTGGGTTTTATTGCGTGGGCAAGGTTTAACGAATGTTGAATAGGATCCAGCGACAACAAAGGCGTGTCTTACGGTCTTTTCATTATCGAAAATTAAATAATACGACAATGCTATATCAAGACACTGTTATGCGATCTTTTGTTCGTCAAGCACGGCGTAAAGTCCCATTTGACATTTCATGCGTGGCCAAATATTAGCACACAAATTTGAAGCGTCATTTATTTATAACGTATGTCCGGCATGGTATGAATTCCAAAGGTAATAGAATAAAAATGATCCACCTATTCTATTTGTAGTTGTTCTATCGCCTGGAACCGTTGTTACCAACAATGTGGTAATACCTAACTTTATTTCCTATGTTACGGAGTTCTCATTCAACTATGGGAAACTTCAGTTAAGTATTTTAACAAGGCAATGGTTTCATATTATTCGTGAACTTTCCAAAAGCAAGAGAGAATAGTCAGTCCAGAGCAAATAAATCAGTTTTACTATCCGCCGAATCGATAACTGTGTTGGAAAAATTTGCTACATTTCGACCAGAGCAATTCCCAAAATTGCGAGAGCGTAGTTCCGTGAACGAAAGTGGTTCCTAGTGAATAAATTATAAAAGGTAAGTTTTAAATAACTCTATTTTAATTGAATGCAATTTACCAAAAACGGTGTCTTCCTTTTGTTGTTGTCACGGTCAGCTTGCCTAAAATTCCTGTCGAGGCGAAATATTGTTATATTCCAGCAAACCAGCTCGTCCAGCGGAGAGTATTAGCTATGGCCCTGCCGACTTGATGCTTTTAATAAACACTTTCACACTAAATGCATAATGTATCTTACTTGGTCTTGTATAAAAATATCATTGCGATTTTGATAAATCTTCGTAAAATCTATGGTAAATTTGCTTGTCATTGACCCGAAGAAGTGGTTACATATCTCATTAGGGTGAGGTGACTTATATTAACGTATAAGGTCTTCAACATGTGATGTGGTTGGTTTCAGGTATCTATCCAAAATCGACAGATCTTTTTGTATGCACTATAAATTAAAATAGTATATATCAAAAGCTGTTAGCTATTGACACGAAATTGGAGTATTTATATTGGATCTCTTGATATATATAAAATATCAATAATCATAATAAAATATGGGTCCAGTGTACAGGGAAGGATATGTGAGCAGAGAATTCGTTTGTGGTAAAAAGCGACTAACTTATTTTCTCTTTTTCTTCTTGTTGCACTATTTGCACTGTCCCAATATATAATTTACAAGTTCCCATTGTTGTACAAACAATAACAAATTTAAGGTTACTCAGGTTTTCAATATATTTTCATAAAACTTTACGTTTGTAAACTAAACGTGGTATATAAAAGTGTTTAATATTGTTTGTTGTTCCTGAAAGTTCATTCTTCTGGATAATAATCCGGGCGGGTGTACAAACCAAATATTTATTATTTAAATAAAATGATGTCAGAAGATTCCAATTTCAGTTTATTTTGATGCAGTTTCCATTACTAATTTCAAAAAACACACAGTCACTACGATAAAAAAGCCTCACTTTTTGGTGGTGATTTTTCGAACAAGTTCTAAGCATATTAATAGTAATTTAAATTTTACCTATTTAAAAAAAGTATTTTGAAGTAAGGCCGCCTCACTTAATGGCAAGTAATAATCTGGAGCAAACGTAAAAGACTGATTTCTAAGCAAAGTTACGGTCGACCACTCAAATGCCAAGGGCTGTTGAAACTATAAAGATTTTGGTGGTGCATTGCCAAATGTCGACTTACAAGAGACTTGAAAGAGTAAATTTTTTACGCGGCCATCAAAACAGCTATCGAATTCATACCAACTAAACCGACCACTTTCAAAGTTTGAAGAAAATATCAAATATATATATGTCAACAATATATAATATATATTACAGATTCTACACTGATTTGGCAAAACTGACAACATGTTGAAAAGATGGAATAAATTTTTTTATCGGAACTCAAAGATAGGAGCGGATCCGGACTCTTCTTGGAAGCTTCAAAATGAGCAGATGAAAACGAACCCAATTTTTAAATTTGCCGATTTTAACGGCGGTGGAGAGTTGGTGAGAATATATGACCAAGGTGGAAAGAATGAACCATATGAAAAGAAAAAGGCTCGTATTTGGGAATATGCTGAAAGAGAAATCAAGCCGAAATTTTTGCATGACAGTGTGCAGTCAATTACTGAAAACGATTACAAAAAATGGATGGCAAGTATGGAAAAAATGAGCAAAAAGTACATTCAACAGAAAGAACAAGATGTTGATTTGCTCACTCATTTACACGGTGATGTGATAGAAAGTGTTAGAGGCTCTATGGTAAGTTTGGATTCTGTGCTCTCGCAATATTCAAACGAACGTTGTTTCTGGAAATTGGAGCACCGTGGACCTGTGGGTGAAACTCCTCTCCACTTGTTATTTGTTAATAACACACCGAAGCACGTAGAAATTGCCCGTATGTTATTGGAACTTTATCCTGGGTTGGCTGTTGACTCATACATGGGACTTGACTACTACGGGGAAACTTGTATTCATTTCGCCATTATAAATAATGATATCAAAGCTTTAAAAATTTTGTTAAGAACAAACCACTGCGATATTGAAGCAAGGGGACGGGGTAAATTCTTTATTCCAGTGGATTTGAAACTTGGCGCGGACACTCTGGAAAAAGAAAAATATGAAGGGCTTGCTTATTACGGGGAATTTCCACTTTCATTTGCAGCAAGCGTTGGGAATAGTGATATGTATGATCTTTTACTAAAGAACGGTGCTAATGTTAATAAACGGGATACTTTTGGAAACACGGCTCTACACTTAGCAGTGGTTCATAATAAAATAGACATGTATCATCATGCAGTAAAGCACCCTGTACACCCAGCAGACGCATCAGCAGAAAATAAAAAAGGGTTGACCCCTTTGGCTTTGGCCGCGAAATTGGGTAGAAATGACATGTTTAAATCAATTTTGGATACATCGGCGACACAATTTTGGGCTTACAGTCACATGGTATGTTCAGCATATCCATTAAATAGACTGGACACTATATCGCCCAACGGAGATACCGACTGGAACTCGGGACTGATGAAGATAATTCAGGGAGACGAGGACAGTCATCTGGATATGCTAGAAGCCGGTGTGGTAACTAGTCTACTCAATAAGAAGTGGAAAGTGTTTGCAAAAAAAAAATTTCTACGTCTTTTTGTGTTCCATTTAATTCATGTCATATTTCTTTCCTGTTCAGTATATCTTCGACCGGACAATGTAAATGAATTACTCGGCGCAACAGACGAGAGGAGCATAGCTCGATACGTTTTCGAAATTCTGACTTGTGGTGGATGCGCTCTAGCACTATTTTATGCAGGTCGGGAGATCTATATCGAAAAACTGAGTGGATTTTGGCAAAATATAAAAACCGTACCCTCTCGTTTGTTGTACTTCATATCCTGTATTTTAATACTTGTATGCATAATTTTTAGAGTGACAAGACTGGTTGACGCTGAGGTGTGGTTTCTGACATTTGCGATTCCTTTGCTTTGGTCATATTTTTTATTTTTTGCTCGAGGATTGCCTCTCACCGGTCCCTTTGTCACTATGATATACAGTATGATCAAGACGGATTTATTGAGATTTTTTATTATTTATTCCATTATTTTGGGTACCTCAGGCGTAGTATTTTTCTTTCAATTCAAGGATTTGAATGTATTCGCATTTTTAACCGAATTAGGAACGTTCATGACTCTCATACAAATGAGTTTGGGAGAGTTTGAATATTCTGACGTGCAACAAGGTAGATATCCGGCTTTTGCGGTAATCCTCTTTGTTGTGTACATGTTGCTTGTTCACGTACTACTGTTGAACATGCTTATTGCTATGATGACTCGAACGTATGAGAGAATTGCTTCAAAAACTAAAAAAGAGTGGAGACGTCAATGGGCCAGCATTATTATCATCATGGAACGCTCACACAGCAATGAAGATAAAATAAAATTTCAAAACTTATACAGTGTTGAAATGCAAGTTAGCAGAATGACATCAACTGGTCCTGCAGACGCAGATAGTACCGCGCACAATAAGGTGAAACATAAGGGACTTCTATGGATTCACGATCAAGGCATTACTAGAGGAAAGAAAAAGGCAGCTGTTGTCGGTCTTTGGAAGAAAACACAAAAGGATATCTTGAGCAGGTCAACAAGTCCAGAAGCTGATGATGGCTTATTTGAAGTGAGACCTGCATCAATACAGCCTAAGCAAGTTCCCAAGACGCCAGAAAATATACGACCCGGTGTAGTTGCTCGCAGACAATTGGACGCACAGCTTGCTTTACAAGACGACGACGGGAAAGAAAGCAACCCGCCAGGAAGTGTTCCATAATCTTCTTTTTTTACAAATTCATTGCGTGTTGGTATTATATCACACTATTTTTGATACAATAATATTTTTAAGCTCTTACAGTTATGCAGTTGTACAGATCGATTCCGAATCTGCCCTTACAACCTTTGTATGAGCAAACTACTTAGCATGATTACCTAGATATTTCATAGTTACTGCAAAAATAATATCCGAACAACCTAATTTTGTAGCCTTTTTCTGGGAAACAAGGTGTGTTTATCTCCTTCTCTTTAATGTAGTTTTCAATGCGTAAACAATCACTTTTTTATGAATGTTCAGTTTCAGTATATATTTTTGTAGTTTTAAAGCAGGGGTCGGCAAACTACGGCCCGCGACGCTCCACTGAATTATATTAACAAAACAGCTGTATTGACGATTATATTCTTTACGTGACAGAATTTGTTTTGAGGCACTAAATGATATTATAACCTAACAAGTATATAATTCACAATCACTCGTTTAATGAGCCTATATTTGATATTAATTAGACAAATGGCAACAGAACGTAAAAAAGTTGATTCTGAGTGCAAATGGTTTGATGGCGCAGAAAATATCCAAATGATCAGTCTTCGCGCACTGCTTGAAGTTTAACTGAAATATGTGTGAAAAAATGTGATTCATTGGCCATTTCTTCGGTTTTTAACTTTCCAAAAATATGTGCGGCCCGCCAATGACTTGCAACCTTTAATTTTGGCCCGCGAACAACAAAAGTTTGCCGACCCCAATTTTAAAGCAAATGAACAAATCGTTGATTATACACAATTTGACTTTTTCAGTTTTATTATGTTTTGCACATTGTGCTTACACTTATATATTTCCCCAAATTACGATGGAAGTGTATCAAGTTTATTTGTGATAATTTGTAAATGTTTTTTCTATCACGAAAAATATGCATCAAAATTCTATTTCCTGTCTAGTTACATGGTCGTGATTCACTCATAGTCACACAGCATATTAAATCCTTTTTTTTATTAAAATAAAGAAACGAACAAAACGAAAACCGGTTTTTATATCATATTTAATGAGATTGTGTTATCTGTACAGCCCACTTTGTTCATCCTTCAGTCATTTATAGTTTTCCTGTTATAAACATGAATGAATCTAGAGTTAGACGAATACCTTTTATTAAAATAATCTAATGAACTGATATATCGATGCGGCTAAAATACCCCGTTAAAATCCATAGTTTTTTAGAAAAGTTGTATGATTTTAAAAATATAAGTATTTCAAATCGGCCAACAGACAAATATATCGACAAGCCACAGTTCAAAGTTCTGTTAAATTTCCCACGTAGCTTCGATAAGCCAAATACTCATGTAGATACGCGTCGGCTGAGCTCACTAAAAAAGTCGATAAAGATGAGAATGACAGATAGAATGGCCAAAGACACGGCAGCAGCTTTCAGTCCACGAATGCGAATGTCAATACAATTCGGGCTTATGTATGATTTTCCGCCACAATTTCCACAATAATCGGGAAATAAACACTCGCCATTACCACATCCTCCTTGGCATATCGGTTTATCACATCTAAAATTAACAAAATGAAAAGGTTATCAACACTGAAAGATATATGTATTTTATAAGTCAGTGTGAGCATGTATATGTGGGTTGAGATTCTGCTGAACTTTGACTTCATCTTATTCAAGCAAATGTACTGATCAATCAGTACAAGAACGAAAAAAAGACAGTTTCTTTTAACGAACGCGGATAATGAAGTTTTTTGAAAAATACAAAGAAACCAGTCACGAGGAAGCATTAATTCACAAAATTATTTTTCAAAAGTAGCCTGGTCATGTACACATATCGTAATTAGATTGATGCCAGTATTAAAAAAATAGTCTACAACCGTTCAGAAAATGCCCAAGTGTGCTTTGTGGAAAAATAGTTTTTATTAATTTAGTTTTATTTAATTTAACAAAAGCCTGGCGTGATTTATATAAGGCATCAGGATCTTTCACCTCGCCATGATTTTCAAATCAAGTTTTGTTCGGTTTATGTATTTTTGCTAGCCAAGCAGAATAAGTGGTAATTTAGGTCAAAGCTGGTTGGTGTGTTTTTGCCTGTTTAAATCCGTGGATTTCTTCTGGAAAAAGGGTTGGATGAAGATGGTTTCTAAATAGGTCACAAAACATGGACAGTTTTAAGCATATGGGATTACGGGAATAGATCATGAAACTCAGACAACAGGATTTTAGATGTAAAATGGAACACGCTGAATCACAGTGTGATAGACAAATTGGTGTTGACGGTCACTGATGATCGAGTCCTGCTACAGTATGAAACAGAACATTCACAAAGTGTAAAGAGAAAAAAATAATTCATGGAAAGGTATGGATCTTTCCCCGAGCATCGACTTCCTTGTTTACTTTGTGACATTGGCCAATCAGCAAGATGCAAAAAGTGACGTAACAATGCCCCCTTTTCGCATTCGCTCAGACACTTTTCTCACTCAGACAGATTTTCAAGCGTGGTTGTAAACATTACCTCGTTTTCGCGTTTTTGAACTCTATTCGTTAGTTTTCAGTTGTGTTTCGGAAACTTAAATATAAATCAGATAATTCAATGATTACTCTGTCTTCCTAGGAGTTTTAATTAAATTGCAGTAATGAAAATTAGTTTAGAAATAGCTGTGATAGACTAGCCTGAAATTCTTTACCGGTACTTTCAAAAAACAAATCGTTGTATGCGATGAATCATAATGATGGTTTGAAACAAATACTCCATTTTACAAGCGCCAACTCGCAAAAGCACTCCTAAAATAGCCTCGGAAATTTTGCAATGGTAAAGAATAGGAAGAATTTTCCGGGGGTTAAAGGTCGGGGAAAGGTCCATTGCGGATAATGGTCTTTTAAAGCGATCAACATACAAACATTCAACGACCGTACAAGACATTCCGCCTATGCTGATTTCAAGCAGACATGGCTGGAACTCTGATATTAAAACTGTAGACTAGAGTAACCTGGTGTCGAGGGTTTCATTTTGTGTTGATCAATAGACCATATTGTAGATAATTTTTGAGAATTGGAAATAATATTATCCGTTATTCAAGGTTTACATTTGACGTCAAATATCTTCGTTTTATCGCAATATCACAAAATAAACATTCAATTAACAGCGTATTGCAGGCATATACCGTACATATTGAATTGGTCATTATTACTGCATTAGCTAAGTTGTTTCAAAAGTATAACAGCCCGGAAGTTCAATACATTCGCGTATCTTTTGTTTAATTATTTCTGGCCCAAGCCTCGTTTTAACAAGGTTTGTGTTTTTTTGTAACTTATTGTTGTGTGTGTGCTGGTGGGCGGGCACATGATATCTCTCATGTTTTAAACTTTTTTAAAGGTTTGGCTCGCCATCCAGAATTCTTCATTTTATATTTGTGTATAATATACACAAATATGGATATTCAAATAAACTAACTATCTATCTACTTAGTAATTGGTTTTCTTTTTGCATTAAATATTTATGATCAGCCATGTATGAAAATAACGAAGTAACGTTACTAATAGGAAAAAATGGAAAAAGGTGGTGATCAAAGTTTACTCTAATCTAGAGTTTACAAACCAACCTTTCTCCTTCCCATCCATCTCTGCACCCATTAGAACATTTGCCGTCTGAAGTACAGTTTCGGTCATAGTCATCAGTGTACTTCATTCGTTCGTGGCCCTTTGGGGACGGCCCTTTTTTAAGGCGGCTTTCTTGGGCATTTTGACATTCTGAGCTATTTCCAGCGGCATTGCAGTTACCAGTAGTTTGAAGTCTTTTGCAGTGGCCACAGTAATTCACACATTTTTCGCCCCAATAACCAGGTGGGCAGTCGGCTTTAGAACTAGCTATGAAAATACACACCAGAAGTAAACCAAAAGCGTACACCAATCCAGAAGGAGCCATCGTTGTTTTGTGATACCTAAACCGCTCAAATTCGAAACAAAAATACCTTAGTTGGGATGCCATATTCACAATATATCTGCCATAGTTTCTCCAGAAACCAATGAGTCTGCACTAAATGAAAGAAACGTTATGCATACTTTAAGAAAGGTAATAATCAACTTAACTTTCAAACGATGGTTACATGAACAAGAATGAAACGAGGTTAATATTCTTTTACCTTGATTATATATAAAAAAAAAAAAAAAATTAAAGAAATATTAAATATGTACATTCCATTGCTAATTGCAAATTTTGGCAACGCTTAGGTCAGTTCGATCATGTGGAAAACAATGTGACGACACAATGGCTAAATCGGTATCATCGCGCACACGTGGGCAGCGGGGCTGCCACTTTAGCTGTTTTTAGGGTTGCCATTGGCAACTTGCCAACCGTCCTTTATTTCAAAGGACAATCCTTTAATTAAGCATTTCGGTCTTTGTCCTTTTTAACATGTAGAAAAGATGCCAATTGTCCTTTATTCTTTCCAACGTCGTTTTGCCCGATAGTTATAGTACTGTGTTTGATATTATTCCGTTCTAAAAAAAATCGTCTCCGTTTATGTATTTGCAAGCTTTTAATTATTCTTTTTAATTTCGCTTTGGTCCGGCTCAAATAGCCAAAGAAATAACAATTTTATTAAGATTGTTTGGGACAATGTTGAATAAACATTAAATGAAAAACACATGAAGATTGTTTTATTATATCTTTTCAGCTTGTATATAATTTTTATTTTATTATTTTATATTGTTCTTTCGTGCAAGTTACAAAATAAAAGATGAGGGTAATCTATGTTCTTGAAACTTTCAATAGTTGGCAACCCTAGCTGTTTTATAGCTAGAAATATATGTTTTATTCAAGGTCTAGCGTAGATTAGATATTGTTGGTAACGACATTTGGAGTCTTAATGTTAGCTACAGAATCTAGATCTTTTTTTTTCTGCGTTTTCGATAGTATCCAGTGGGAAATAAAAAAGCGATGTTTATAATTGTTAAACGAATAGTATTTGGAATTAGAAGCAAGGTTGATAAAACTTAAATCACCGGTGTCTTGTTGGCACAATTTCAGCACAAAACATACAATTTTTCATCCGAATGTCATAGCGGAAAAAATATTCGTTGCCACATTCGGGATACGACATCAACAAGCAACACCTGGCGATTTCTGGAGACAAAATCTAATAATATAACATTAGAATATTTTTGAACAGCGTATTTGTTACATTATTAACATGAATGAGTTTGAAATTGCAAAATATATTGAGAAAATACGCTAAACCACGCTTAACTAAGTTTACAAAAACTGTCAAAACACGAGGGGGACGATTGGTTTCAATACGGAAGTTGAGATTATAAAAAACTACCATATCCAAGTTGCTCTATTGGAAAACTGCACAGAAATGAAAAGTTTGAACATGATTTCTGAACGTGTAGCAAAAAATTAATTGCTCATTAGAGGAAAAGATTTAACATGAATAAATTTTCAAAATATTATTAGGAAAGCCAACATAACATATTGAAATTCATACTAAGTGAGAGTTACGATTGTTGAAGATGACAAATGCAATCTGGCTGGAGCGAAAAATTGTGCATTAAAGGAAAAGTTTTAACATGATTTCTGAACGTGGAATTTAACACACTTAGTATGTTAGTCAAATTTCTAAAATATCATTAGAAAAGCCAACATAATTTATTGAAATTTGCAATATATACCAAGTGAAAGTTACGATCATTGAAAATGACAAAAGCAATTTTTAAAATTGTGCATTAATAGAAAAGGTTCAACATGATTTCTGAACGTGTAATCCAATGCAGTAACACATAGAATTAGTTAAATTTCCAAAATATTATTAGGAAAGCCAACATATCATATTGCAATTTTCGAATTAAACTAAGTGAAAGTTACGATCATTGAAATTGACAAAAGCAATTTTGCTGTAGCTGAAAATTGTGGATTAGGGGGAAAAGATTCGACATGATTTCTGAACGTGGGTTCTAATGCAGTAACATAGAATTGATTAAATTTACAAAATATTATTAGGAGAGCCAGCAGAACATATTGAATAATTACTCATTAAGAGAGAAGATTCAAAATGATTTCTGAACGTGCATGACACGTAGAATCAGTTAAATTTCTAAAAGATTTTTAGGAAAACCAACATAACCTATTGAAATTTCCGATAACTAAGTGAGTCTTTAAATTATTGATAATGACAAAAGTAATTTAGCTGTAGCAAAAAATTGTGCATTAAAGGAAGAGTTTTAACATGATTTCTGAACGTGGAATCTAATGCAATGACACATAAAATTAGTCAAATTTCCAAAATATTATTAGAAAAGCCAACAAAATGAAATTTCCAATATATACCAAGTGAGAATTTTTTTTTCGTTGGTTACGGTCGTTTTTTAAAATCTTCCAATCGTCTCCCTCGTGTTTTGACATTAATTGCAGATGTAGTTGTATTTTTATCAATATATACTGAAATTTCAACTTATTTATGTTGATAATGTAATAAATGCGTTTTTCAAAAAAAAATTGTAATGTTTGGGTGATGAGTTTTGGTTACATATATTCACATTGGACATTACATTCAAAATGTTTTGCAAAAAATTCATTGTACCAAGGTCGAGGTTTATTGTGGGCAAGCAGGACATTTCGCCCAACATTCTCAAATACCATGTCCAAGAGATACATCAAAATTTTAATCTGGTTAGTGCTTCTAGTTATTGTACGTCCAAATAACGTTTGAGAAGAAAATTCCAAAATTTGCATTGATACAATACAAAGAGCAGATGTGCATTAAATTAATATTTGTGGATATTATTCAAGGTGAAAAATAAGCTCTACTTCTACGTAGCATCCCTTTGCCTGTACTGTTCCGGGGCGGAAAATGGGGACGTTCGTGAGAATGAGCAACCAATGTTTTCGAAACCATCTGTATTTGTATACAATATAGATCATTAATACCTAAGAGCTTTCTTATCGGCACTGGCTTTTCACTTCGTGCAGTTCGATGATGGAAATGATTGAAAAAAACTTTATTAAAGTTGCAGGTTAAACATGTCGAGTGAATTGAATTCTTTTGAATTGAATAATTCTTTTTCGAGAATCCCGTTGAGCAAGTTTTCCAATCGTAGTCATTATCATAAAAATAAAAAAAGGCGAAACTCATTTTAGGCGTTTTCAGGTCCTTGTCGCCCGATTAGGTTAAACAAACAAGGTTTGGATGTGCGTCAACGCAATAGTGTGAACATATTATGTGGACGAGCCCGTATACCAGGCGCAGTTCTTACCACTTCAGCTCCTGCCACGAACGAACCGCGGCAGCTCTTGCCGTGGTTTTATAGCGCTTACAGTAATCAGTATTAACGGTATATTCACAAATCAATGTACCAGATTTTAATTGATCATGCGGAATTATATCTACTTAAACCCTAACCCTAACCTCAAATCCATCAAAACTGTATCCATGGAAAAAAAAAGTTCTAACTTACCCAATATTTGTCACCATAAGGGACAGCCCTGTCTTTACGGCCCACCTGCCGTTGTTACGGCAGCAAAATTTTACCTGCCATTGGTTTTCAATTTTCTGCCGCGGTAACGGTAATGGTTTTGCGGCAGTTGCAGACGCCACAAAATACTAAAAACTGCACTTGCGTATACCGGTACCGTACCGCATGCTTTACTTTTAAGCATCATGAATTATCTTATCTGTTATTACCAGTGGTGGGATTCGAATTTTTTGTCAGCCGGTTCTATCATACAAATGTCATATTCTCAGGCGGTTATGTTACAAAAAGTCATGTAATGCTAACCGGTTCGCTGATCCGTGAGACGGCTCTATAGAACCGGTGCGAACCGGCTTTATCCCACTACTGGTTATTATCGGTACCGGTTATTTTGGCATTATGTTTGCATACGCAATGATTCAATCTGAAAAGGATTTCATAACGTACAGTACAGACTTCAAAGCGACCACATTTTGACTTATGTTGCTTCGAGCATAGTCACTGTGGCTTCGAGCTCCTGACACCAACACGTGGTCCAGCTCGTACCGTAGGTCCATAGGTAGTGAATACGGTCGCAAGTGAGGTGCTGCCTTGCCAGCTTACGGTATATGATTTAGCTCGAGAATGAAACAAATACTTTGTGTTTTGAATACAAGCACAACATGTCAATTCGAGGTTCAATTTGGGAGACGGTAACTTAAAAATCTTCTACTTCTTGTTCTGTGTTTGTTCTTTATGTATGAAAACGTCCTTTCAAATAAGTAGGTAGTTCCGAATGGCAACAGAACATTCATTGCATCAGTTAATATATAATTACGGATATTCCTTTGCAACTGAAATCCAAAATTCAACCACGAAGACTGTCTGAATGGCAAAAGTATCTGAGCGCTTCTAAACGTTTATTATTACGTCAAATTTTGTACTTATACTGATTGGCCAATGTTACCGCAGTAAATAAGAACTGAAGAAAGTTTATACTCGGGGAAACATCCATAATTATAATCAGAGATTATAAAGTTGTTATACCGAAATACGCTACACAGACTCGATGCTCATATTTATGGCAAATTTAAATTGTTTTGCGACCCAGAGCGGAGTGCCTCGCGACCCAAATTCAGTGAAATTTGGATCGCGAACCCGTAGTTGCGGACCCCTGCAGTCTGCACTAGTAGACATGCACGAGGGCCTCGTGACGAGGCTACTGCCTAACTGTACTGGGACCGGTACCGTACGGATTGACAGATACACTCCACTCTTAATTCTATCAGGGATGCTTGTTACCTTGTTTCGAGCAAACTTATATACATTTTATTTGTCTGAATATTGCGTGATTTCATGAGATGGCACTAGAATAAAGGTCTTACTGGCACCGTACTGATTGAATAATAGTATTTTCATATTTCATTTTTATCGAGAGATCCCCTGGCTACCGTGGGTAAGTACTGGTATGGAAATCGCAAGTAAATCCTGAAATCATACCCAGTAGGCCTACTGTCATATGTGAGGTACAGCCTCTCGTGGCAGCGTGGACTTGTTAATCCAGTAAAAACTGAAAAACATGAACACCCTTCGTCTGTCCACTGTCCCTACAGTCTGTCAGTACTGCAGTAGGCTAACCCAAAGCGTATAGGGTGGTGTAGCCAGTCTGCGGACGATTTCATTCAAACTGCTATAAAACAAAACCAATATTTCTAACCCGTCAATTTTTTCACCGTAGGTGCATTGGCATTTATTCTACACGCTAAACCTCGAATTAACTGATCAAGGGTTAAAGCTATACAAACCACCAAAGTACGACACTCTGAAGACGAATTTGCGACCCAACCAGTGTGCGACCATGGATTTCAAGCCTTGAACATCATTTATGCTGCATCGAGACTAGAGCATACGCAGCCATGCGTGGAAAAATTGGGCTCCTGATTGCATTTCTGACCGTCATATATTTTGAGAACACGGTTATTTCGAACAAAACTCGTCAAATTATAAACAAAGCACCACAGCAATCAAACAGACAACAACATGGTGGTCGCAAATTGGTCGGCAAAGATATTATTGACGTATTCGAAATGTGCACCCCCCCCCTATTCCCCCTCCTTTAATAAATGTAGAAACGCAAATCTTTTAAAGATGGTTAAAAGAAACACAACTTTACCCATCTGCCAAGTTTGATCTTCTCTTATATTTGTATGGATTTTCAAGCTTTTTTGGAGGGACAATGGGTGACATGAAAAAATGGTCGGCTTTTTTTCTTCGGTTGGGTTTTCAGTCGTAACTTTTTTGTTTGTTGCTGCATTTTAGTGTAATTTCGCAGAGCTACGAGGGATAAGTGGACGATAACGCATGAGAAATATCATCGCGGTTCGTTAACTTTTTCGGCATCAATTTAATCGATGAAGCGAATAGGTCGTGGCCGCAAAGTGGGTAAGCTACCCTATCTGTATATAACCCCTAGCTAACCTTATATATACAGCAATATAGCGTATCTAATCCATTCACCACAGTGAGTTAGTCTCCATTTCATGACACCATAGGTCAGCATGTTCCGGTAGTTGCTCGCCATCCGTTAAAATTACATTCTCGTGAGTGTAAATGATAATCGGTACTTTTCATTTCAATCTATCCAAGTTTAAATTTAACTGTTTTCAAGCCCGCAGAGTTACATAGTACAATAATACAATAATGGCTGCTCGATCTTTAACATCACATATGCTGAAAAGTCTAAGTCTCCCATCTCGGGTTGTGCGGAATCACACGAAAGCACTAGCAAGCATGGGAGTAAAATCTGATTATAAATATCTTCCATATACAACAAACGGGATGCCTCAACCACGCAACAGTTATGTGAGAATATATTCAACTGCTCAGACCAATGAAAATCTTGAACATAATGAAGAAAACAAGCAACAATATGAAGCAAAGGAGCATGCAGTTGGGGAAGCAGACAAGTATGAGTTTCAAGCGGAGACTGCAGAACTTCTAAATATTGTTGCAAAATCACTTTACTCTGAAAATGAAATTTTTATTCGAGAGCTTATTTCTAACAGTAGTGATGCACTAGAAAAATATCGTTACCAACAACTCAGTGAACAGGATGTAGCCAGTAGTGAAGAAAACCTAGAAATTAACATATATCTTGACAAATATGAAAACACAATTACCATTCAGGATAATGGCATCGGTATGTCTGCAGAAGACCTCGTTTCGAATCTTGGAGTAATTGCTCGATCAGGCTCAAAAAAATTTCTTGAGGAATTGAAGAGTCAAGGCAAAGGTGCGAATTCTATCATCGGACAATTTGGTGTTGGATTCTACTCTGCATTTATGGTGGGTTCGAAAGTGGTTGTTTTCAGTAAGCCACACAATTCTGAAGAGAAAGGTTTTATGTGGACTTCTGAAGGTGGTGTTTCCTACGAAATATCAGAAGCCGAAGATGTATTACCTGGAACAAAAATCATAATCACCCTCAAGCCGGATTGTCGACAGTTTGCGACTGATGGTACTGTGAAAGAAATAGTACAGAAATACAGCAATTTTGTCAGTTTTCCAGTAAAACTTGATGGAGTTCAACTAAATACGGTCCAACCCTTGTGGACACAAGAACCGAGTCAAATTGATGAAGATATGCATTTGAATTTTTTCAGATATTTGTCAGGCTCACAAACTGATCACTATTTGTATAAACTGTTTTACAAAACTGATGCTCCGTTAAACATTCGAAGTGTGTTTTACTTCCCTGAAAGCCGACCTTCTTTAGTGGATATGGCGAAAGATACTAAATCAGGAGTGTCCCTTTATAGTAGAAGAGTGTTGATACAAGATAAAACCGAACACCTCTTGCCAAAATGGCTTCGGTTCGTGAGGGGTGTTGTTGACAGTGAGGACATTCCTCTCAACTTGAGTAGAGAACTCCTCCAAAACAGCTCATTGATTGCCAAACTTCGACAAACTTTAACTGGACGTTTGATACGATTTTTTGTTGATCAAAGTAAAAAAGATCCAGAGAAGTATAAAAATTTCCACTCTTCATATAAAATGTTCATCACTGAGGGAGTTTTATCAGAAGACACTCAGGAAAAAAGAGAGGAGGTTGCACAACTGCTTAGATATGAAACATCAAATACATTAGAAGGTGAAACCAAAAGTCTCAATGAGTACATAAGTGGAATGGAAGATGATCAGCGTAACATATTTTACTTGTGTGCACCGAGTAGGCAGTTGGCTGAGACCTCCCCATATTATGAAGCAATAAAAAGTAAAAACATGGAAGTACTTTTCTGCTATGAGCCTTATGATGAAATAATGATGTTGCAATTGAAGAACTACAATGGGAAGCAACTTTTTTCTGTGGAAAATGAAATAGTTGCTGACATGTTTAAAGATGAGAAGGGGACAAAGACTGATGGTGAATCACAAGCGATTTCACCGCAAATGGATAAGTTCACACAATGGGCCAAAGGAGTCCTAGGCGATAGAGTTACGGATGTTAAAAGCACAACAAAACTTGATAAGCATCCGTCCATGGTCACAGTTTGGGAAATGGGATCTGTGAGACATTTCATTCGTAGCCAATATTTAGCTGATCCTAAAGGTCTTTCTGAAAAAGAACGATCTATGCTATTCAAACCTGTATTCCAACTTAATGTAAACCATCCAGCCATTATAAAACTTGGGAAAATTTACGATACAGAAAGTGAACTTGCAACTCTGGCCCTTGAACAGTTATATGAAAATGCCATGGTATCAGCTGGGCTAGTTGATGATGCCAGACCCATGGTTGGCAGACTGAACAACCTATTGACAAAAGTTCTAGAAAAGTTATAATAAGGCTACTTTGGGTTCGCCTGAGTGATATTTTAATAATATAAATAACATTTCCAATGCTAAACTTTAAAAAGATTGGTTAGGTTTCTTTTATTTCATGTATACATAAATAAGTTTTGATTCACTTTCGATTTCTGCGTAGGCATAAATAACAAAGAATGTTTCCAGTATTCTATATCAGGGGTGTGCAAACCTGGCACCTGCGGGACTGAAGGCGGCCCACAAAGAAAAATTGTGCAGCTTGCGAAACGAATTTTTAATTTAGTTCAATCTGATATGTGCGAGTAGTACCAAACTCTTTGTGTCGCAAAGCCTATACCTGAGGCCTAGTCCAATATATTATGATGATAAAATGCCCGAACAGCAAGCTTGTGCGAAGCAATGCATGTCATAAGATCAATAAGCAAAATTTTTGTTCCTGCAACTACCACAAAGCCCCTGTTAAATAAAGGTGCAACCCAGTTTCACCCGGTTCATTGCATTTAGGTTGCACACCCCTGTTCCATATCGATCTAGCTAACTGATATTATATTAGAAAATGTGATGTGAGCAGTTGCACTTGCGTATTGCATCTCCAATATAGAGCAATTTCTGTTTCCATTACACAAAGTTGGACACTTCAGGTTATTCGATACAAATTGCATTAAAAAGATTATCTTAGCAGTATTGCAATTCGTGATATTCTTCCTGCGTCAACATTTTATAAAGGGTGGAAATGCTGTTTGAGTGTTACTCCTAAACCTACGATTTGCTGTTATTCGGAATTTTCATTATTGGGTATAAGGCCTTGGTTAATGGAAAGGGAAAATAAAACCAACATATGTTATATTATAAACCCACCAGTGCCTAAAAATGGCTCAAATCAACCTGCAATATAAAGAACAGATTTTGTAAATCAATACCATAACAAATAAAAATATATTGATCACAAACTTTGAGACCACCACCAATCACTAATCAATCCACTTATATATATTGATTGCATTTGGCCAGCAACTTTGAAAACAGATTAGATAATAAGAACAAGCCACTGGAATGTTTTTGATAGTTTTTATTGAATGCAAATCACATAAAATGAGACTTAAATCTAGAATGTTATAATATCACACACAGATGACCACCATGTTTCTATATTAGAATATAAGAGGACGCATTAAATTAGGTACGAAATCCAAACTGCGTCATCTGAAGGGTTAAGGACACCGGGAACCATGGAAGTACACAAGTCCCAGTTTCATCTACTCATTCTGGGGGTAATATTGCACTTTATGCTGTATGTATTCTAACAACAGTCTCTAAAATATCAAACGTACTCCAAAGGGTCTATCCTGCAAACATTAGCATTGAATAAAGTCGCTGCAAAGAATTAGACAAATAGCGTCAAAGGTCTCCAATATTGCTATATAGTATATACTATACATATAAACAGAAGAACTATATCTTTACGCCCAAAATAGACAGACAACATGTCACCATATTAACACTATAGACTTGGTGGATAAACATTCATTCATGGCAAATTTACAATATTGCCTAGGACTGTATGTAATGTATCATCCTTTTTATGAAGATATGGATATCACATAGTCTACCAAGTTAAATTAAACTGTGTGAATTGTTTACCATTAAGGTGAAAAATTATTAAGCTTCTTACAACAATTCAGAGTCGCAATTAAATTTTCTTTACACATTATGTACGTTCATGCCCGGGGTGTTGAAATGGATAAAATCACTGCTTTGATAAAGTAAATAAAATCAATTACTTTTTAGATGTAAATAAGACAATCAGCAGACTATAATCAGAGAAAAATTCCATCATACAAGCCATAGTCGAATTTGTATTATATATGATAGAACAAATTCATGACTTTTGCCCATTGTTCCCATTATTTTCGAGCAATCTAACAGTCAAGACTATAATTTAGCATCAGGTTTTTCTCACTTAGTTTACACTGATATAACAATTTAGATCATTTTATAGGATTTATACTGTAATTTTTATTGATAAAAATTGTATGAAATATGTATGAAGTTCATAATGGATGGCCATTTTGAATTATTGTGAAACCCTTCCTTAAGGAAAATTCATTAGGGCCCCGCAAGGTTCCGCTGATTGTAATAAATTTTTATCCTGACGAGTAAAATAGTATGCAAAAATTGATGAAGAAATCTTTATGCTTGGTAGCTCATTATAGAAGTGAAATTTTCAGGCCCTGAATTATTTAGCAAGAAACCCTCTTAGTTAGAATATTTTACAACGATATATTATTAATGAGAAAGATTCAATGTTTTGACTGTAGACTTGTTATAATATTATTATTTATATATAATAGACTAAGTATTAACAAATACTTGTACCAGAATTCATCTCATATACTGTTTAAAGTCAAACAAAGCTATGTAAGATCTTCATCATCATTCCCTATTGTCTTTTTGATTCGTAGAAGGATTGTGGTCAGCCACTGGTCAATGCGAGATATCGAATCATATTTTGCAACTGCTTCCGCAAATGCATCAGCATTTTGGTTGTCATGTGTCTCGATTAAACTCTTCAACAATTGGCATTCTCTACTGTCAGAAAATGCTGGAAAGAGACCTTCGTATTTCTCCAATGATTGCCTTTAAGAAGAAATTATAAAATTCATAAGCCTCACAGAACAAAATAGTAATTAACATAAATAAAAACTAAAATGGTGCGGACTATGTAGTTAGGCCTACCGATAGTGACGCATGTAATTTACCCTAAACCACGAACCCTTGTTTCAAGGCAAGGCAGGCAATTTAAATTGGAACCTCATGAATAAAATAGATGAATCTAATTAGATTGCAACGAAACAGGGATTACATTTCTGATAGTTTGCTTCCAATATTTAGCAATTTTCTCCCTAACACTAATTTAGGTTGCTGAGAATAGTCTATTGCCTTTTGGACATTTAGTATCATCTTTATCACAATTATAATAAGTGGGTAATGCTAAAATCTCATATACATAGACACGAAGATCGTGAATCAGTGGAGGAAGGACTGAGAGCACTGTATTTGCCGAAAACATGGGTAGAACTGTAGAAGAACGATATGAAGGTGGACTAGTAATACAGAACAAAATGTCTTCTTTTCAGATAAAATATCAAGCCTCATAAAACCTGTGAGAAAATTTGAAAAAAAAGAATTGAAGTAATAGCTTTCTTTCGACTACTTCCATCTATAACTATTAAAAACTTGAACTGAATTTGAATCAAATTGTAAAAATGGTGTAAATTTATAGTCTTTGCAAATGCATTAGATCTGGTCATTATTCTAAATTTTTTTTCTGTCAAAACAACTTTTACCCACATTACCTGATAGCAGTTGAAGCCAAGACAAGAAAAATTAGGAATATTACAGTAATCAGAGGCATGAGTTACACACATTTATATATTTATGCTGATATTATGAAATCTCATACTATATCACCAAATACATAGATACAGTAGTAAAGTAGAATTACAGATTGAAATTGATTGATCCATTAGCTGGAGTCCTGGAGAGAAAAGAATTTTTCCCCACAAGTCCACTTCCATGGTTAATAAACCAGTATGTGAAAGTCTCAACACTTTGATGATAGCAAAATATACTTTTCTGTTCTGTTGTTGCTAGAGACTTATCTTCTGGTAAACCCTCAAGGAATTTCATTCTTCATTCACAATATTTTTTAAAAGACCCAGTTGAATAAATACTTTGTAAAATGATTCATATTCAAGGATACCCAGGTGATTTGAAGTATGCATCCCACACTAAATTATTTATAGTCAGCTGACTTTTTCAGCTTTCACAGTTCTCTGACTCACAATAACAATTGTCAGGAAATGAGTGATTATCTCATAATCATAATTGACGTAAATATGATTAACAAAAAAACAATGGTCTGATTATTTAAGATTGAAAGTTGAAACTTTTATTCCCTGATAATGAGTTGATAACGCTGTTACTTTTATATCTGATATTTAGTACGAAAATATCACCATTTCATATGATTAAGCTTTATCTATTTCCTTTGAATAAAATTAATAAAATATGGCTGATTTTGAACATCAAATTCCAACATCTGCTGCACCATAGTACAAACAACCCTATACAAGTCAACATTATAGAAACAGACGATAAGATAGTCACCTACTTCACTGATACCCGATTTGTAAATGGCCAGACACGCTTAATAAATTATGAACTGTCATCGTGGGGATTTGGAACGGTATGGAATGAGTCCGTAGTCTAGGTAGTGTCACCTTTGGCACTGCTGTAATGCCCCAGCCCCCAACTTAATAGTTTTAATCTCGATTGTAAATACGACGTCTAGAATTCTCAGTGCTTTCATTCAACTGTGAATAATCATGAATATAGTTTTTTTCTCTATAAATAAAATTTTTGATAATCCTACCTAAAGGCATTCAGTAAGTTGAATTAGGCAATTTAACAGATTTTTCGGAGACTGAATCCGTACAAATCATCCCGACTCAAGTGCTTGTGAGTGAGTTCATATTTCCTCAAAGTTAATGAGAATTAGACTCAATTTATTAAGTCAATAAATCAATAGTAACATGTAAATCACTTACATTGCATCGATTGTTCCACCCAAACAAAAATGGCAGAGTGCTGATTTGAAGAAGTACTCTTTCACCGAATATTTCAACAACGGACTATTCATTGATGACATTCCCACACGCTCATATAATTCTATGGCTTTTGTATATTGCTCAAGCTGAGCTGCATAGGCCGCCACCTTCAACCAGCACTTATTTGCACTACTCGTCGAATCTTCGCCCTTATAAAAGTCTGCAGCCTATACAAACAGAAATTTTGGTTAATATTGTGGTGGAACCGTGGAAGTACTATACAGTTAGCAGGCCGGCCCAACATAAAAAAAAAACATTTTATGCTGCCTGCGAGGTTGTTTAAAAATACATTCCTATTTCTTCAAAAATGCATCATATGATCAGTGGTGTACAATGTTAAGTTAATTCTAGATCAATTCTAATAAATGCTCAGATTACAAATTCGAATAACATCCAACTTGACCACTTTATTTGGATTCACAATTTACTTTCACACCTGGCATATAATGTTGGTGCTATCATTTTTATTACCCCATCAAATCAAATCTGTAACCTAATACAAGCCATATCGGAACCCATTAGTCGAAATCTCCATGTCAATGGCTTTAAATTATACATGAAATTTTGAAAAACACATTTACCAGTCATATCAATATTATACAGCCTCCAATTTTCACATGTTATTTATTATCATAAATAGTTTTTGTGAATAACATTGTGCTGTATTCTGAAAAAACATCAAACGAATTGTAAAATCAGAATGGTCATTTTACACAACAAAATAATAAAATGTATTTAAAAAGAATATGTGAAAAAATAGACCTACTCGCTCATAATGAGAAATGGCTTCTTCAAGTTTTGAAGTCTCGTTTTCATAAATTTCCGCAACGGATATATGATGTTTTGCAGCAACTGTAAATCTCCCCATATCAGTATAAATATCAATAGCCTGTATTAAACATTATTTTTATGTTTTCATAAAATCATTTGTATATTTATTTTATGTGGCGATAGTCAATTTGTAAATAAAAGTTAGAATAGAAATATTATACACAAATTTATGCATAGTTTTGCATTGATGCAAGACGTTGGCTATCAGAGTTTAATTACTTATTTGGATTTATTAACCGAAATAAGAAATGGAAATGGCCGAGTCAATGCACAAACCTTCTATAATCAGTGGAGGCAATGGAAATGAGTTAAATTAAAAATTTCCATTCTTCAAAATTCAAACTATTCGTATCCTATTACCTGTTACTAGAATAACAGGATCTTTGATCAAATCAAATTTCTTTGCAAAAAAACTAGATAACACAAATCATTTTTTTTGTGATTCTAATGCGAAAATAAAGTTTTTACTAAACTAACCAAAAACGTACAATCCTACTAAGCAATAATATGTTCATCTCACCCTTGTCAAACATTTGATAGCCGCATCTGCATCTGATTTTTTATAACAATTCCCAGCATCAACAAAATTGGAAGCTGACTCGTGTTTATTCTGTAGTGATTGTTGAATATCTGCAGACTTACAGAATGCATTTCCTGCTTCGTTCCATTTTTTCAACATCTGGAGCAAAGAACAAACGAAAAATTATATATAACGACGATAACCTATGATCTGAAATTACTATACGGTAAAAAGTCATTAATGCATGAAATGCATACCGGTATTCAAATTGAATTTATAGATTTATAAGATATGTTATAATTTTATGCTACATTGGAAAGACTACAGTTTTATCGGCAAATTAAGAAAATTGAGCTGAGCTGAGATGCACGTACCCAATAACATAAGATACACAAATTTTGATATTACTTATAGTATTTTCTGATGCTATTTCGGTATGCGATCTCAGCATCAAATAACTACTTTGGTATGTGATCTCACTAGCCACACATGATCTCAATCGAATATTAAAGTGGGATCAATTGTGGTGACACTTTCGTATGCGTTCAACGAATTTCATAATTTTTCATTGAGTTCAATTCCTGAACCTAACCATGTCACCGTTAATTTAGGGTCAGATAATAACATAATACTAAATTACTGAGATCGCATATAAAGTGACACCTATTTTCTGCTGTGTATTATTTGGAAATAGTTTGTGACAGGATGAAGATCTCCAAGATATCAGGTATACTGAAAGTGGATCGAAGATCAAAAAAAATTACTGCATGTTTCAAAGTATTCTCCTTAAAGCAACAGATTAAATTGATCAATTTAATTCTTGTATTATTATGATGAGTAAAATTCCACATAGAAATCACACACACAGATTTGTTTTCACAAGCAGTATCAAGTCAAAACTAAACATGCATTGTGAAACCATGTGAGGCTATAGAAGCTATCTATAAATACTGCACCAATATGACACCAAACATGATTGAAAGGTATGAAGGAGGGACATCAACCAATATTGTCAAAACCTTCCTGAGCTGCCGTCATGCCAGATGGCCTCGTTTCATAGACAAATCAAGTAAAAGTTTTATTGAACAAAATGTCAAGATATCTTGGAATCGGAGAACTGTGGCATACGGTACTGCATACTGTTACAAAAATTATTGACTTTAAAAACTAATATCAGAATAATGATAGTACAAGAAATGATGTACAGTAGCCTACAAGCTGAGATGTAAAGATATCATACAAATTCACCTTAAACATATTTGCTGCCCGAACAAATTTTTCACATGCTTCTTCTTGTTTAGATCCAGATCCTAGTAATTTAGAGAAAAATCCCTTTGATGAGTTGAGGCTTTTCTCAGCCTCAGCCATCAGCTGGCAGGCCTCTTGTTCTTTATCCATAGTTCGATATTAATGTTTGTAACAAATCTAACTTATACTATCAGACTATATACAGATATACAAATATAATGTTACGAACTTACAGTACCAGTAATCAGCTTGATGATATCTTTTGAGGAATATTTTTCTATCCACATTATATAACTCTTGTTGACTAATTCCATCAAGTGCAGTTTTAAGTATTCTGTGGCGTCTGCAGCTGCCGCAAAACCAAGGCGGTATTTCCATACCATGGCCGCTACAGCCAAACCTACAGACCTATGGCGATTGACTTTTTAGCTGCCACAAACCAATGTCGAGCTGCCGTTACCGCGGCAGCAAATTGAAAACCAATGGCAGGTAAAATTTTGCTGCCGTAACCGCGGCAGGTGGGCCGTAAAGACAGGGGTGTCCTATATGGTGACAAATATTGGGTAAGTTAGAACCTTTTTCTTATGGATATAGTTTTGATGAATTTGGGGTTAGGGTTAAGATTTAAGTAGATATAATTCCACATGATCAATTAAAATCTGGTTCATTAATTTGTGAATATACCGTAAATACTGATTACTGAATAGCGCTATAAAACCATGACAAGAGCTGCCGCGGTTCGTTCGTGGCAGGAGCTGCCATGAAGTGGTAAGAACTGCGCCTCAATTCTATATCCAATTTAAGAATTTGACAATCCTCAAATAAAATATTAATTTGATGTGGCAAAAGGATTTATTCATTTCTTTTTTTGTACCCTATATTTTTCTTTTTTACTGAGTAGGCTAATTGGATTTTATTTTCTCGCTTTTTTTACTCCCGATCTTATCATGTTTCAGTCTTGATGATTGTATGTCAGTGTGTGCGTGCCTTAATTAGTTTTAATACTTTTGGGTACCGGTAAGCGAACACCAGACTAGGTACCATACTAAAGTACCGTACCGGTACTTATTTTATCGATAACTTCCCACCTACAGAACTAGGCTAAAATCTGTACGCTTTAAACCTTACTCGAGGTTTCGTTTGCTTTCCCGATTCTATAATCAGTTTTATTTATTTTGTTTTTATCAATTATTTTAATCGTCTATTGCTGATTATGGAGTCGAAATAAACTTATAACCGTATACGTTACTGTTATACTTATACACCACAGTATCAGTATACACGGACTACGGTAGACTACCTGTAGTATACTGAGATACCTGTAACGTTACGGTATATATCGTAATTCTGTAACTGTTCATTTTATTTATCAGGTAAGTTACCGGTACCGGTAGTTCTGTAGTTGAACAAGCTATTTCAATATACAAAGTTCTGTTCTGAATTATAGAATAAAAAGAATTATAGAAATTCGGAACTGAAAGAACCGCAGCTCTGAAATAAATACTGCAAGTTTATTTTGATCGAGCTCGTCCTTTTTATAATGATGACTGAGTCACTTTTGGTCCCTCTAGTGTTACTTATTTCGAGCACTCCTAACGCTGCCACGACACTATAGATCAGTGTTCTTCAACCTTTTTTTTCGTGGTATACCTTTTACAATTTGACGAGAACTTTGTATACCTTACAATTACCAATGTTTATTTAAAGCTAAAATGAGCAATAAATGTTAGGAAGAGATTGTATAAAAACTAAAATCGAAGTGGCGGGGCGAGTCATTATAAATGCTTCTTTTAGTTTTTACTGACAGACGCAATTAATTTAACACCCAAATGTGTAAAAAACGTAGTAAAGACAATGTTAATTTAGTTTCAGTGGCTTCTTTGTTCTTGCATAGTTTTGGCAATTCGTTCATAACGGGGTTTTAGTTCTTTTTCAATTGCTCCCCGCATTAGTGAATCAATATCAAGTATTGAGTTTCGCTTTTTTGACTTGATTTCAACAAGACTGGAAAACCCTTCTTCACACAAATAAGTCGTGGGCATCTGCACCAGGAGAGCGATGGCTTTTTCCGCCAGATTTTTGTACTCGGGAAATTCAAAAAGAGAAACCCAAAACTCTGAGTAATCCATTTCGCGAAATGAAATTTTTTGATTTAAATCCTCCCGGAAAATGGCTGCATTACCCACGAGTTTTCTTCTGAACGTCTGTCATTATCTTCAGGAAAGTACAAAGCCAATTTATCACCAAGTAAGTTTAAATGACCAACAATGAGGGTAACCATGGTATTTATCGTTGAAACGTCCTCAAACTCCCACCCAGACTCTTTCAAATATTGACTTAACAGGGGAAAGTCAATGAAGTTTCCCGAAGAAGCATTATTTTTCCAGAGTTGAATTTTCATCTTCAGAGCATTGATTTTGCTAGTCGATCGAAATATATCACCTCCCTTCCGTTCACTTGATTCAAACGATCAAAAATCGACGCCATGTACGCTAATTTTGCAATCCAATATATATTACGAAACCTGTTGGCTTTTTGGTCTCCTCGTTCAGTGTAATACGCCCCTAATTGTTCTCGAAGTTCAAACACACGAGAAAGAACTTTTCCTCGGGACAGCCACCGTACTTCTGAATGTAAAAGAAGTTTTTTGGATGTGGCGGCTGTTTCCTCGCATAGTTTCGAGAAAAGTCTCGTTTGTTTTGAACTTTTCTTAATCGTATCACAAAATATACGACCTCCCGTAGAACATCGTGTAATTCATTTTCTTTACCACTAGCGTCACCTGCATTCAGTTCAAGTTTCTTTGTTACTAATGCCTCGCGGTGGAGAATACAATGAATTCCTATGCATTCTGGAGACTTTCGCTTAATTCTCTCGATCAAACCTTTCTGTGAGCCTCGCATAGCTGCTGCTCCATCTGTTGTAACCGATTTGCACTTTGACCAATCTAACATTTCTTCTTCAAAGAACTCGTTTATTTTATTGAAAATTGCTTCAGCAGTTGCCTTTTCTCCAACTGGTTGACAAAATAGATAATGTTCAACTATCCTGTTAGATTTTATGTCCGGAAATCTACAGAACACCATGAGCTGAGACTCACTGCTTATATCAGTGCTTTCATCCAACTGAATGCCAAAGGAGGAAGCTTCTAGTAACTTCTGAATTAGTTGTTCTTTTAAATCTGCGGATATAACGGCACATCGTCGCCATACAGTAGTGTCAGAAACAGCAATTTTTTTGACCTTGTCAACTGCTTTTGTTCCACCATGAATCAAGTCAGCCACAATTTCTAAACAAGGTAGCACTACACGTTCAAGTTCTGTGTACGGGCGTTTAACTTTCATCATGTGATGTGACATCTTCAATGATGCCAACAATAGGTTATTGTTCTGAGTTGATTGGTGTCTAATTTGAGTATAGAACGCATTGCTCTGTTTTTTCTGCGCAGCCAGATGTAATTGAAAAAACTTCGCAGATTTGTTTTGATGTTCTGGATGTTGTTTTATAGAGGTGATTCAATAGCTTCGATCGAACAACATTCACATTGCCATAAATGGTCGAACAAAAAAGACACTGGGCAGATGAATAACAATTTTCCTCTTCGCCTTTTGGGCGACAAAATCCGAGATTTATGTAATCATCATTCCATTTTCGTCTCTTCAGTGTTGTTTTCTGGCGCTTCGCAGAAGGAAAGCTATCTGAAGACGATGAGGCTGAGACAGATTCGGTTTCTTCATTATTATCATTTCCAAAGTATTTCAACAAAGACATTGCAACTGGCGATACTGAAATCCAGTGGGATACTGTCCGCAAGTCGTAAACGTATATCAAGCGACGAGCATGGCAGCAGAAATCATCAACCCAGGCACGTGCCATTGTTATCTATATAATTTGTGATGTAACAATGTGCTCAAGTCGGTCTATTACGTGAAACACATTTTCTATTTCATGTGCGCCGCGTTTGCATTGTTGTCTCTAATTGAACAATTTATTATATTAGAGCTCAGAATTCTTGATTTAGACAGTACACCCTTCGTATACCCTTTATCAGCTGTATACCCTTTATCAGTTGTATACCCTACTTATGGTCTGGTATACACTTAGGTATACAGTATACCCGGTTGAAGAGCACTGCTATAGATGACACATGGTTTCTCTGTTAGTCCCAACCAAAGTCCTTATATACCTAAGTTGCGCAACAATGGAAATTGGCCGCCATTTTCGATCATAATCGCTGCGTCGTCTGTCGTGCGTACCGGCGGTTCTGTCTGTTGTACCTGATTCGCGTTCAGGCTGCTACTGTTTGCTGTAAAATGACAGGCTGTTCAGCGCCCAATTGTAATGGAAATTGCCAAAAAGGTCGGTTATTCAAGTTTCCGGTAGATAACGAAAGAAGAAAAAAATGGGAGGTCAATTGCCGGCGGGGTGGGGGATGGAAGTCCGGCCCAGGCAGTGCCTTGTGTGAGGTTAGTCAAATAACGTTAGTTTAACTGATAACAAGTACTTGGTGCATCACAGAAATTTTTATAGCAGAACTTTCAATGGTGCCTTAGTGTTTGATAAAATATTACTAGCTAGTCTGACTACTTAGACTGTTCGCTTATTTTATTTTTCAAGTGTAACTTTAACCTTCTTCATTAATGTTTGTAGGTTTGCGAATTATTATGACATGTTGGTTGAATTAGCTGCTTTTGGTTAATAATTTACGTGTTTCAACTTGAAACCATTCTAATCTTAAAATTAGAAACGAACTCTTAACGTGTCATAAAACACGTAACAAGTCCTACAGGCTGTAATAACGATAACGCGTCATGCCCTGATGATACCAATACCAGCTTAAAAGCGACCATTCGTTAGGAGAAAAAAGAGAACTGGAACAATGTACAATCAACGAACTCGTGCTTGCCCCTTGCAGTGAAACTTTGATTTTGTTTGGCTTATCAGCCAGCCATGATTTGAACCTGTTCATTTTATGCGTGAAAATATATCATATCATTACATGTATACGGAGATATGTATATACAATGTCAACGTCAGATCAGAGCAACAGAATTAGACAACAACATAAGTACCAAATTATGTTTTCTAAAAAATGGTATCCCCGACAGACGATATCAACCAAAAATCAGCGATGAATCAATGAATAAAAGCGAAGAGCCAAAGACTATGACAAAAAAAATAAGACTGTTGTGTAAAAAAAATGTGTTTA